ACGTGTTGATATAGACAGTACCTACCGGGTTGATATAGACAGTACATCTTCTGATGATATAGACCGTACATACCTGGTTGATATAGACAGTACATGTTGATATAGATAGTACATAACGTGTTGAAATAGACAGTACGTGTTGATATAGACAGTTCGTGTTGATATAAACAGTACGTGTTGATATAGACAGTACGTGTTGATATAGACAGTACATACCGTGTTGATATAGACAGTACGTGTTGATATAGACTGTACGTGATGATATAGTCAGTACATGTCGATATTAACAGTACATATAGTGTTGAAAAGGACAGTACCTGTTGAGATAGACAGTAAGTGTTGATATAGACAGTACATACCCTGTTGATATAGAAAGTACGTGTTCATATAGACAGTAGATGTTGCTATAGACAGTACGTCTTGATATAGACAGTACATGCTGATATAGACAGTACGTGTTGATATAGACAGAAGATGTTGCTATAGACAGTACGTCTTGATATAGACAGTACATGTTGATATAGACAGTACGTGTTGATATAGACAGTACATGTTGATATAGACAGTACGTGTTGATATTGACAGTACATATCGTGTTGATATATACAGTACATTTTGATATAGACAGTAAATACCGTGTTGATATAGACAGTACGTGTTGATATAGACTGTATGTGATGATATAGTCAGTACATGTCCATATTAACAGTACATATAGTGTTGAAAAGGACAGTACGTGTTGATATAGACAGTACATGTTGATATAGACAGTACATGTTGATATAGACAGTACATAACGTGTTGATATAGACAGTACATGTTGATATAGACAGTACGTGTTGATATAGACAGTACGTCTTGATATAGACAGTACATGTTGATATAGACATTACATGTTGATATTAAGAGTACATATAGTGTTGAGAAGGACAGTACATGTTGATATAGACAGTACATGTCGATATTAACAGTACATATAGTGTTGAAAAGTCCAGTACGTGTTGATATAGACAGTACATGTTGATATACACAGTATATGTTGATATAGACAGTACGTGTTGATATAGACAGTACATACCGGGTTGATATAAACAGTACATGTTGATATAGACAGTACGTGTTCATATAGACAGTAAACAACGTGTTGATATAGACAGTACATACCGTGTTGATATAGACAGTACATGTTGATATAGACAGTACGTGTTGATATAGACAGTACATACCGTGTTGATATAGACAGTACGTGTTGATATAGACAGTACATGTTGATATAGACAATATGTGTTGATATAGACAATACATACCGTGTTGATATAGACAGTACATGTTGATATAGACAGTACGTGTTGATATAGACAGTACATACCGTGTTGATATAGACAGTACATGTTGATATAGACAGTACGTGTTCATATAAACAGTACATGTTGATATAGACAGTACATGTTGATATAGACAGTATATACCCTGTTGATATAGATAGGATGTGTTGATATAGACAGTACATGTTGATATAGACAGTACATACCGTGTTGATATAGTACACGTGTTGATATCAACAGAACATGTTGATACAGACAGTACAAACCGTGTTTATATAGACAGTACAGACGGTGTTGATATAGACATTACGTGTTGATATAGACAGTATGTTTTGATATAAACAGCACATACCGTGTAGATATAGACAGCACATACCGTGTAGATATAGACAGTCCATACTGTGTTGATATAGACAGTACCTGTTGAGATAGACAGTATATGTTGCTATAGACAGTACGTCTTGATATAGACTGTAGATGTTGATATAGACAGTACATGTTGATATAGACATTACCTGTTGATATAGACAGTACATGTTGATATATACACTACGTGTTGATATAGAAAATACATACCGTGTTGATATAGACAGTTATATAGACAGTACGTCTTGATATAGACAGTACATGTTGATATAGACATTACAAGTTGATATTAACAGTACATATAGTGTTGAGAAGGACAGTACGTGTTGATATAGACAGTACGTGTTGATATAGACAGTACGTGTTGATATAGACAATACGTGTTGATATAGACATTACGTGTTGATATAGACAGTATGTTTTGATATAGACAGCACATACCGTGTAGATATAGACAGTCCATACCGTGTTGATATAGACAGTACGTGTTGATATAGACAGTACATGTTGATATAGACAGTACAGACCGTGTTGATATAAACAGTACAGACCGTGTTGATATAAACAGTACAGACCGTGTTGTTATAGACAGTACATGTTGATATAGACAGTACGTGTTGATATAGACAGTACGTGTTCATATAGACAGTAGATGTTGCTATAGACAGAATGTCTTGATATAGACAGTACGTGTTGATATAGACAGTACATACCGTGTTGATATAGACAGTACATGTTGATATAGACAGTACGTGTTGATATAGACAGTACATACCGGGTTGATATAGACAGTACATGTTGATATAGACAGTACGTGTTCATATAAACAGTACATGTTGATATAGACAATATGTGTTGATATAGACACTACATACCGTGTTGATATAGACAGTACATACCGTGTTGATATAGACAGTACATACCGTGTTGATATAGACAGTACATGTTGATATAGACAGTACGTGTTGATATAGACAGTACATACCGTGTTGATATAGACAGTACATACCGTGTTGATATAGACAGTACATGTTGATATAGACAGTACGTGTTGATATAGACAGTACATGTTGATATAGACAGTACGTGTTGATATAGACAGTACATGTTGATATAGACAGTACACGTGTTGATATAGACAGTACAGTACGTGTTGATATAGTACATGTTGATATAGACAGTACGTGTTGATATATACATGTTGATATAGACAGTACGTGTTGATATAGACAGTACATACCGGGTTGATATAGACAGTACATGTTGATATAGACAGTACATGTTGATATAGACAGTACGTGTTCATACCGTGTTGATATAGACAGTACATGTTGATATAGACAATATGTGTTGATATAGACAGTACATGTTGATATAGTCCGTACGTGTTGATATAGACAGTACATACCGGGTTGATATAGACAGTACATGTTGATATAGACAGTACAAAAAATATACATACCGTGTTGATATAGACAGTACATACCGTGTTGATATAGACAATACATACCGTGTTGATATAGACAGTACATGTTGATATAGACAGTACGTGTTGATATAAACAGTACATGTTGATATAGACAGTACATACCGTGTTGATATAGACAGTACATACCGTGTTGATATAGACAGTACATGTTGATACAGATAGTACATACCGTGTTGATATAGACAGTACGTGTTGATATAAACAGCACGTGTTGATATAGACAGTACATACTGTGTTGATATAGACAGTACATGTTGATATAGACAGTACGTGTTGATATAGACAGTACATACTGTGTTGATATAGACAGTACATGTTGATATAGACAGTACGTGTTGATATAGACAGTACATACCGTGTTGATATAGACAGTACATGTTGATATAGACAGTACGTGTTGATATAGACAGTGCATGTTGATATAGACAGTACATACCGTGTTGATATAGACAGTACATACCGTGTTGATATAGACAGTACGTGTTGATATAAACAGTACATGTTGATATAGAATGTACATGTTGATATAGACAGTAGTTGACAGTAGATGTTGATATAGACATTACATTTTGATATCAACAGTACATGGTGATATAGACAGTAAATACCGTGTTGATATATAAAGTACGTGTTGATATAAACGGTACATGTTGATATAGACAGTACGTGTTGATATAGACAGTAGATACCGTGTTGATATAGACAGTACATGTTGATATAGACAGTACATACCGTGTTGATATAGACAGGACGTGTTGATATAGACAGTACATACCGTGTTGATATAGACAGTACAGATCGTGTTGATATAGACAGTATGTGTAGATATAGACAGTACATGTTGATATAGACAGTACATACCGTGTTGATATAGACAGTACATGTTGATATAGACAGTACATACCCTGTTGATATAGACAGTACATGTTGATATAGACAGTACGTGTTCATATAGATAGTACACACCGTGTTGGTATTGACAGTACGTGTTGATATAGACAGTACATACCGTGTTGATATAGACACTACATACCGTGTTGATATAGACTGTACGTGATGATATAGACAGTACATGTTGAAAAAGACAGTACACACCGTATTGATATAGGCAGTACATGTTGATAGAGATAGTACATACCGTGTTGATATAGACAGTACATGTTGATATAGACAGTACGTGTTGATATAGACAGTACATACCGTGTTGATATAGACAGTACATGTTGATATAGACAGTACATACCGTGTTGATATAGACAGTACATACCGTGCAGATATAGACAGTACATACCATATTGATAGAGAGAGTACATGTGGATATACACAGCACATGTTGATATAGACAGTACATACCGTGTTGATATAGACAGTACATATGGTGTTGATATAGACAGTACATTCCGTGTTGATATAGACAGTACAGACCGTGTTGGTGTTGATATAGACAGTACATATCGTGTTGATATCGACAGTACATACCGTGTTGATATATACAGTACATACCGTGTTGATATAGACAGTACATACCATTTTGGTGTTGATATAGACAATACATACCGTGTTGATATAGACAGCACCCACACAAAATATATCTATAGTGACGACAGTTGCTGAATGCATTGTTAATATGGTTATGGTTTATTTATATATTTTATATATAGTTGTTTCAAAAATGTACCAGATTGTTTTTTTGTGATATTTGTCGCTCCATTTTAAGTTGAACTACATTTGAAATACATGATCATGCAAATTGTGTCAATATTGATGCAAATGTACGTACAAAGAAAAAAAATCATGATATAATGGGGGCAGATAATTACCTGTAGTTTTACTGTAATCCGGAATTCCACATGGGTGTAGAACGCCACAATTATTTAATACTCCAGCGTCCTCACCCATATCTTCACTCGGTATAGGCGCGCCAGACATGTTAGAGGGCATATAAAATGATTTCGGTTCTTCTTTGTAGAAATTCAACACAAACGAAGATATGAGATTTCCCCATATATGTGTCGTTTGGAAGCACGCTAGAAATATGCCATGGAAACGAAGGACCTCTTTATCTATGTTGCCCCTACTGACACGAGAAGAATCAAATGCTAGTTTTAAAATGTAGGAGATTTCAGCTGTCCATAAAATTCCTTGTCCACACCCTGAAAATATAGCAGTTGGTATTAGTGTGTAAAATGTTGGATAAAAGTTCGCTCCAATCCATGTAAGAAAGCTGAACATTCCAATCACTAGAGCCCATTTAGCAGATAATTTGTTGATGATTGAAGGGGCCCACAAACAGGTTAAGAACATAGCCCCGTGCACAACCCCCATGGCAATAATCCCTAGATTTCCTTTGTCGTTGATTGAACTTTGGAGGTTCTGTATAGCCCTGAAGGAGGAAAACAGTGTAATAAAACTAATACATAAAAACACTAAATTTTTCTTGAATGTAAAAACAATTATAGATGGCACAGTACTACTTAATTCAGAGCATGGTGTCCCGACATTTTCTTTCGTATTATCTTGACACATTATGTGATTTTCGCCGGCTATTGGAAGTTTTTTGCTTCCTCCTCCTTTGTTGTAACTAGGACTCTGAGTATTTAGATCCTCGTTAAGTTTGTACACTGACTGTTTAGGTTTTATAATTTTAGACCTACAAGCGATTGCCGTCTTTAGTTCGTCAATATGATCCGGGGTACCACCACCACCACCGGAAGTAGTAAGACTTACAGTCATCCGGTTATTTGGTGTATGGTTCATTCTAAGTTGTTGTTGATGTTGCTGCTGTTGTTGTTGTTGTTGTTGTTGTTGTTGCTGCTGCTGCTGTTGTTTTTCATCGTTTTTTATATTGTCTTCTACATGCGAGGCTGACGTCATCATTATATTATTTTTGGTAGGTTTTGAAGGTTTTGTGGATGAGCAATTGTCAAGAACTGATCTTAATTCGAAGGCGTCATCTCCTCTTCGTGTTGCTCTCACATAACTTTCCTTCCGTCCTCTTTTGGTAAGATAACCTTCTATGAAATCCGTCTGCTCCTCCACATCGGCGGCGCTTTTCTTGACGGCGTACCTGTAGCTTTCAGTTCTTTGTCTGTTTGCCTGTGTAGCATATGTATAACTCGGTCGGCGAGGCCTATAGAGGCCGAAACCGGCCCCAAGACCACTCATGTCAAATGGGGATAGTGTTGACGACGATGCCGACATTTCGTTTTTAAAACAATGTTTTCCGCCACCATATAAGGTAGACGATTTACATAAGCCGCTGTATTGTAAATGAATCTGATTATAACGAAGTTGTCATGGTGTACGAGAAAAAGACAAAACCACTCGTTAAACCTAAGTCCGTTCTGGTTTGCTGAAACACATTCCACCATGTGTATCCCTCAAATCTAACGCATCCGAATATATCAAGGAAATAGCGCCGTAGCAAGGTGACTCACTCATCATCGGAAGACAGGGCGAACATTATGACCGTTTCTGGTCTTGATTATATATGGCAATGTTAATATGGCGGTTTTAATGTCCGTATCTCCGCGCCATTTAAGTCATCGTTTGGGAATTTGGTTATGAAGAAACAAAATACAGCTGTACATATGCCAGTCTGTACGGTAATCCGATCACGCCTAGATCAATACACATAATGATCAGTTCATACACGGCTTTAATTAACCTTTACGCCAACTTGCTTCGTGTTTACAGTATGTCCGGCGTTAGGCTTGGCAAGGTTGCTTCGCCGTTGTATTTAACTAACAGCTTGTTATCTCACAAGCCGAGTACAACAACGTACAGATACACAACACACTCGGCAGACTTTGAGCAACAGCAAGCAAGCCCAGCTCCAGTTGGCCTTACACTCTAAGCAAACGGAACTATAAAAAAACGGTTGTCCATAAACAGGCTGCCATAAACACACTTGCACACATAAACAAAATGGAGGTTATTCTCTTGTTGCTCAGTTCGGTGTAATATCAATGTCACATCCAGCCTACAGTCTTCGACGATTACAAAGTGTGTATGCCACCATTCCTAGAAGAGAAAACTACCAACCTCCCCTACACATATGCTGAACCAAACACAATCGATGAAGCAAGCTCTCTTCCTCGCATATACAACCTATCATACTGAAGCCAGTCGGTTTATATAACCAAACCATGTTCAAATACCAATGGAATTTAACGAGATTCCGCCCCTATATATCCACATCAGAGTCGAGTCTTCTACATTAGCTTGCTTTGTCTGTGATACGTCCATGCACACCATCACTGGCTTGATCAACACACGAGCTGGATAATGGCGTACAGAAAAAAAAAACATTACGTCTTACAGACGGAGATATTATATAGTGAAAGCCTGCTCGGCCGCGCTTGCTTCTCTCCGCAAAGTGACTAGGTTTGCTAACGTCTTGTCCCATGGCAAAATAAACGGGAATACAGATGTATGTTTACTGTAGCAGTGTCCTTGGTGTTAGTGTGGGGTTTTCAGATCTGATGGCCATACATACATATTTAGTTATTTACAGACATAAAATAGATAAAACAGATGTAATTTTTTTCGTTGTAATTAAGTTTGGATTTGCTTTGATTTAACGACAAATTACAATAACTATTTAATTTGCTTATGATAGATAAATTATGTGTGTGTATATTTTTTTAAACAATTGACTGAATATAATGCTAGGATTTTTGTATTAAGGACGTGTATGTCTTCTTAAGGTATTAGCCGATAATTTAGATATTCCAGTTGTAAATGGTTTGATTTGTATGAAAATATTTCATTTTAAGGTTTTTCTTTTGATTCAAAGCACTGTGAAGCACGCTGTAAGCTTAAACAATTTCCAATTACAATTTCTGTGTATAAAAACCTTTCTGTTGCTGTGCTCTCGACATTCCTTGTATTCTCCCATTACCTAATCCGGGATTTTGTCATAAAAGCTTCAGACCTGAGATTTTCCTTCCAAGCGCTGTCAAATGGCTCCAATATATTTGCTTGTGCCTTCAATTTCGTTTTGGGTTCAGGATTTCCACTGCAAGAGAACAAACATATAGAAATACACTATGGGGTTAACAAATGACTTTTATGTAAATTCAATATGAAGACTTTCACGAAAAAAAAACAATGAAAATTTCCCCCTGACAAAATTTAATCCCGGGTGGTTTTTGTGGTAACAAACATTATTTAGATACTAAAGACATACACGTGAAATTCAAAACATTCTAAAAGAATTGCATTAAATATATATGATGGGATTATAGAAGAAGTTATCAAACTTGTATTAATGCATTTGCCGATAATATTTAACAATATGAATATGAACAAGATGGACAGGTAAATACGGTGTAGCATATATATATATATATATATAATTTGATCCCCATCTTTGTAGTCCTGGGTATATTTTTTAGGATATCTCTGATTGGATAATATTAAGTACAGTTGATTACTGTACTGTTAATGAACAGGAAATTGTAATTGTCATATTTTCTGTCGTCATTTGTTATTTTTAATAAATGGCATATTTCAATTTCAATCAGAGTCTGGTTTTGTGTATTTAGAATAAGTATAACCCAGGTTACAAACAGAGCACATCCTTTGTTTGGTGCAGCGCTAAATACGGTGTATCATATATACATATACATCGAGAGAGGGGATGTGGGTGGTTGGGGTTACAATTACATATATATATATATCAAAACTGGCAAGTAAACATCAATAAATAAATAAATAAATAAAAACAATATATATGGGTGACATGTAGTCTAACCAGATTCGGACGACAGACACCATTGTTAAAACTATCTACTATCGAAAACCTTCAAACTAATCCTTATATATACAGCCCACTAGCATAGATTGCATGCCAAACTTCCGATGGTAACTTGGTTTTTTCTTACTTTTCACAAAAATTCGTGAGACAAGCCGTTTTTAATAAACGTTTTGGGCTAATTTATGTCTACTTGTCGAGACAGTCGACACAGCAGGTCGAATTTAGTACGAATCGTGCCCCAAAATTACCTCCAGAGTCGTGACCCGACTTCAAATAACGAGCGGACAAGGACACACCACCAGTAATACAAATCTCATGTTAATATTGTTTTAATCTAAGATCGTTTTAGGAATGTGTTTACATTTTGTTTTGTACTGTATTACGACTCCGTATCAATTAGAACACAACACAGTGACAACTGTGTGGGCGAGAACTTGATAATAGATTTAAAATGAATCACTTTGTTGTCAGGAACTCACTGGTGTTGTGGGAGTTGGGGGTAATCGATTTATGAAAATAAAGTGAACAGCAGTTAAGAGGAATTATCAGAAAAGGAATACACTAATTCGTCATTGATACTGTGATTCAGAATCAGCATTTCAATAAAAATAGAAAATTTCAACAGGACACGGTGTTTAACGATAAAATCGGTCTTTATTTCAACATCGTATCTATGTCGAAACATCCTATAATGTAGGTCTCTTACTGCCATTTCAGAGTAGTGACATCTAAATCAATGCGCCCGGTTTATATCACAGGAAGATATCAATTATGGGACAATTTCTGTATTTCTATTATGACTCTATTATATATGTCACTAAATAACACAAAAGCAATGTAACCCTGTCTTTCACTTAATGTCACTATGACAATGTAACCCTCTCTCATTTAATGTCACTATGACAATGTAACCCAGTCTATCACACAATGTCACTATAACAATGTCACTGTGTCTATCACACAATGTCACTTTAACAATGTTACCCTATCACAATGTCACTATAACAATGTTACCCTGTCTATCACACAATGTCACTAACACAATGTTACCCTGTCTAACACACAATTTAACTATAACAATGTTGCCCTATCACACAATGTCACTATAACAATGTTACCCTGTCTATCACACAATGTCACTATAACAATGTTACCCTGTCTATCACAATGTCACTATAACAATGTTACCCTATCACACAATGCCACGATAACAATGTTACCCTGTCTATCACAATGTCACTATAACAATGTTACCCTGTCTATCACACAATTTAACTATAACAATGTTACCCTATCACACAATGTCACTATAACAATGTTACCCTGTCTATCACACAATGTCACTATAACAATGTTACCCTATCACATGTCAATATGCCAATGTTACCCTGCCTATCACATGTCAATATGCCAATGTTACCCTGTCTATCATTTAATATCACTGAAACAATGTCACCATATCTATCATTTAATGTCACTATAGCAATGTCACTGTGTCTATCACTTAATTTCACTATGGCATAGTACTTGTCAGCCACTTTTATTTTTTCTAATCCATCACAAATTAAAAGGGTACCAATCGCTATGTGAAATTGAGTTCATCTAGAAATCCAAAATTGCCATTTATAAACATTTTCCTTTTTTATGATCAATCACAAAATTGAAAAGGCATGCATTACTAGGGGGCAGAGAAGAACCTACATTTGAAGTTTGAGGAAGAGCTTTCCAGTCCTTCTCAAGAAACAGTGACAAACCTACAAAGTTCCAATTTTATCAGTACACAAGATTGCTGCCTTTCAGCCACTTAGTTTTCCTGATCAGTTTTAGAATTGTCCATATATGAAATCTGAGAAAAATGTATCCAGTATTTCACATTTAATAGCCATAAAATGAATTGTTTAATGATGATCCAGGGTGGTTTCAATAGCTCAACATCTGCTTTGATTTTTTCTTACATTGACATCAGGAAACTTTACAGAACACCATTTCAGGTACCTACTGACCAAATCAAGGCCATTTATACCAGTAAACTTTATAACACAGCCTTTCAGGTACCTACTGACCAAATCAAGGCCATTTATACCAGTAAACTTTATAACACAGCCTTTCAGGTACCTACTGATCAAGTCAAGTCTATTTATACCAGTAAACTTTATAACACACCATTTCAGGTACCTACTGGCCAAGTCAAGGCTATTTATACCAGGAACCTTTATAACACACCATTTCAGGTACCTACTGGCCAAGTCAAGGCTATTTATACCAGGAACCTTCATAACACACCATTTCAGGTACCTACTGGCCAAGTCAAGGCTATTTATACCAGGAAACTTTATAACACAGCATTTCAGGTACCTACTGGCCAAGTCAAGGCTATTTATACCAGGAACCTTTATAACTCAGCATTTCAGGTACCCACTGGCCAAATAAAGGCTATTTATACCAGGAACCTTTATAACTCAGCATTTCAGATACCTACTGGCCAAGTCAAGGCTATTTATACCAGGAACCTTTATAACACACCATTTCAGGTACCTACTGACCAAGTCAAGGCTATTTATACCAGGAACCTTTATAACACACCATTTCAGGTACCTACTGGCCAAGTCAAGGCTATTTATACCAGGAAATTTTATAACACCTATATCAGGTACCTACTGGCCACGTCAAGGCTATTTATACCAGGAAACTTTATAACACAGCATTTCATGTACCTACTGACCAAGTCAAGGCTATTTCTACCAGGAACCTTGATAACACACCATTTCAGGTACCTACTGACCAAGTCAAGGCTATTTATACCAGGAACCTTGATAACACACCATTTCAGGTACCTACTGACCAAGTCAAGGCTATTTATACCAGGAACCTTGATAACATAACATTTCAGGTACCTACTGACCAAGTCAAGGCTATTTATACCAGGAACCTTTATAACACAGCATTTCAGGTACCTACTGGCCAAGTCAAGGCTATTTATACCAGGAACCTTTATAACTCAGCATTTCAGGTACGATATTTCCCTTCACATATAATTCAAAATATCATAACCAATTGACGTATGTTTGTATTTTTTTTTATTTCTTTTTAATTTTTCATTTGCACATTTATCAATCATTACAAAACATGATGCCATACACATTGGAACAAAAAACATCATATACATTATCATACAGTATCCGCTCAACAAACTCTCAAGGACTCATTCCCAACCGGCACACAGTATCAGTTCATGAAATTCACAGATTCATACTCAACAGTCACAAAGTTCAAACACCAATGTACAGATACACACAGATTCATACTCAACAGTCACAAAGTTCAAACACCAATGTACAGATACACACAGATTCATACTCAACAGTCACAAAGTTCAAACACCAATGTACAGACACACACAGATTCATACGTTAATGCATATTATCATCACGAATGCTAAGATACATTTAATTATTATCAAACAACATTGATAAAGATCAATTGAGTAAAAATAAATAAAAAAGAGGAGGATAGAGGAGGGTGGTATACAGACTGTTATTACTATATTGATTCTTCTGTATGTGTGAATTTGTTGGAAAAAAAATAAACAAATAAAAAACATTTTGGATTCTGTAAGCATTCTCTCTCTGAAATTCGTTGAAGTAATTCCAAAGTTTCAAGAGAGATGACAAAGTGTTATACAAGTAGCTAGAAAAATATTGTTTTGTTGTGGGTTGGGGTGTCAGCCAATCACAGTTTCACGAGGACATATTGCTGATAACAGAAATATAGATAATAATTTATGTTTATCTATTTTTATTTCATTTCATTTTTACAAATTTTAATTCATAAATTAAGATGAAAGAGTTAAAAGAATAAAAAAAGATAAAAAAAATTAGACAAAAAAAATAAAAAAAAAAAATACAAGCCTCCAATGTTGTTTTCATTTGTAACAAGAATACTAGACCATTTGATAAGAGAAAGTTTAACAGGTTTTACAAATATTTTGGAATCTAGGACACCAAATTCAAGGGAGGCAACCCACAGTTCACTATATTTTTATTTCAAAAAATACATATAAATCACACTCATGTCATGCATGATAACTTTGTATATTGGATCTGTACATCAAAATATACAGTATATTTGGTAAATAACTTTCAGGATTCAAAGTCTGTCTGATCGACTTGGAGTGTGATTTTCAGGACTAAATGTAAAGTAAACCTTGATGGAAGTACAGATTTAAGTAAGATATGAACAACTTTGGCAATTTTCTCATTTGGCCCCACCTTTTAACATGGGGTCTGAGAGTAACAGTTCATATAAAAGCTATTCCATATCACTCGAATATGATTCAAATTAGATTTAAAAATCGCTTAATTTGAAGTAAAATTTAAAAACTTCATCCCCAGTTGGGGTCAGACCCTTTATTTATACAAAACTGATAACTCTTCAGTCTATCTGGGGATGATCAAGACCAATTCTCATCAAAATCCCTGATCTAAACAGAATCAGAAAAGAAGAACAGTTTGAAAGATTTTCCATTTTAAAAGACTTCAAATCAAAATAGATAAAAATCCAGTCTGGCAATGTGGGTTAGAAGTATTTTGAAAATCAAGTTAATAGATGGACAGATGGATGCAGTAGCATACTGAAAGCTGTATACTTAGGACTGGAATAAGGACGACAAATTTTAACCAGGGATGCCTGTAAAACAGTGTCTGAAGTAATTGATCAAAAATTATGATTTTCAGTCACAGTTTTAATTCCTGGTAAATCTATATTTAAACTATAATTTTTAAAGAGTTGGACAACACAAATGTACCATTTTAGGAATATTTTCCCTTTAAGACAATGTATACATATGTATATAATGGGAATATTTGATCTTCACTATGTCATGGAATTTAATCAACCATGAAAATAAAAGTACAAAAACTTTATCACTGCAGTTATTTTACAGATAGAACACGTAGTACTGCAAACAGGATGTATTTGGCACAATGGCCATGTAATTTTTCCCATTTTCGAAATACCTGTCTGTCGCAATTGTATTTAATTCTGGAAAACATTGATGAAATAAAATCCCTCATCCTACAGTACCAGGGTTTTTCTTTTTAAAGCCTGTTTATCACATTTTGGGACAAAATTTTATCAATTGGGGAGGAATTTTACAGGAGTAAACTTCATGAATACATTTTGGGAATTCGACCATATTTGGAAATAAATTCTACTGTGAATGGGGCCCTTATATTCAGTCCCTCAAAACCCTCAGTAGAATGCCCTGTTTTCTGGCAGTGTATATTTAATAATTAAGATTTAACCAATCTTCGCAACTACATATAATATGTAACCTACACATACTTCTTTACAACAGAATGTGGACATATACCCGTAATATATCCATGTCTCACAGGATAAGGAAAACTGATAATTCATTCAAATTTGAATCAATTTCATGGCAGCCATTTTAATTCTATTTTCCTTTTGTCACAGTACTGGATAGCGGGTGAGTTTCATGTGTCAAAATTCTTAATTTTCACAATTTTGTTCTAAAATGATTCAATTATGTTTAAACAAATTAAAATTTCGCTGTCTGGATGTAAAAGGACATCTTATACATCATTATTTCATGGATGAAATTTTCGTGGTCATTTATAACATACTTCAAAATAGCAAAATAGCAAAAAAAAGTATCCGGCAAAAATAACCGGCGATATGGCATTCCTTTCTGATCCTTATAAACTTCTGATTTATTACCAATAGATTTCCTTGTTATCTGGTAAATAGTCTGAAGACACTACAAGCATTCACAGATATTTGAATAAATTAATGGTTTGTAAGGGACATAACTCTATGTTTGACCAACATCAGTTTTTCTTGCGTTTGAGATTTTTGTTCTGTTGCTCCTGTTCCCGTCTGTGAGCCTCTATCAGCTGTTCTTCTATCTCCGGCTTCATTGGGCAGTATCGACTGTACTCCATAGTAAATTCTCCTCTTCCCTGGGTCTTAGCTCGAAGCTCAGTCATGTAGCCAAACATTTGGTTTAAAGGTGTCTGAAATGAATGGTATTGTGTTTGGATAAAGCGTCTCGGATACTAAATCTGTACAAAACCATTAATATCCATCATAACCGACAAGGGTAATAATTCTACTATCAAATGCGTAGTGAAAACTAGAGATTTGTTTTCTCAATTAAATATATATTTCACCTTACATGCCTATAATTATCAACAAGACAAGACTGCTCTGAACATTTACCTCAAGGCTGAAGATCACAATAACATAGTTGCTAGGAAAAGCACACTGCCTATTGGATGATATAGGCACAGTAGAAATTTCACTTTTACTTAGGGTTCAAATCTGACAGCATGGATATCAAGATTCTGCTGAAAATTCTTCACTTATTTAACCTTTGACTTTAATATCAACAACAACTATAACACATTTCATTCCCGGGAAACATAATGAATCTCAACACCACAAAGTCTAAACAAGAGCACCGCAAAGCGGAACAAAATAAGCCTGTGAATATCCCAAAACAGCAAAGGGGCATAACTCTTATTCAAATCGTCTAATCAAAACCCTGTTCAGGAAAACACAACTTCATATCATGGTGATTAAGCCTACCAAGCTTCATAAAGATCGGCTGAAAAATGTAGGAGGAGATCTCCGGACAAATAAAAGTTTACGACGGATGCCGGACGGGCGTATAAAAAACGTCATTGCAACTGGAACTGGCTGGCAAGTATATTGTTTATTTGGATAAGTAATAGCCACACCACACCCCCTCCCTAACAGTGGTAATCCAGTACCGAGTGAAAAACAGTTCAAAGAATAGATGAGCTAAACATTATCAAGGCAGTGGCTTTTTATATAGGAATAATTGTTTAAAATCAGTGTTTGATGGCCAATATATTTATGGTGTAACCCGTCCACAACAATATACTGCTGTAAAGACGTACCTGTGCAAAAAGTGATACAAATTCATCGTTAGCATCTTGTCCCATCATGATGGAGTCCCGTTTATTGAGACTGGCAAGAACTTCCCCTTGAAACTCAGCAGGAAAGTTCACCTCTACATCCATTACCGGCTCTAACATTTGCCACAGACCGTCTTCCATCACTGTAAAACAAACAATGAAAAGTACACATACATGATGTAATCTTAGCTTTTTACTTGAAGAAATTGACCCAATTGGTCAGCTGACATACAATCATAATTAATTGTTTACCAATTAAGAGATGAAGTAAAAAGGCAAATTGCTCCTGTATACAAGTGTACTATTGAGTACAGACTAAAACTCATCTATCTGAATCGAACCCAGGTCTCCAGTGTGGTTATCTACCATTCTATACCAACTGAGAAACAAGCTCTGTCAGTTGAGTGACAGAAACTGTATCAAACATATATTATAAAAAGAAAATACTGCAGGAAGAAAAGCTACTTTAATGTATGATATTGTGGCTAGTATGAGCATCCTGGTCCCAGCATGTCCTGTTTTAAACAGTTGCAAATATACTTTTTCACAATTAAAAGTGAAAAGATTTTAGACGTACCCCCCAATCCCCTGATCTTTTTATTAAAGGACTGGTCAGGTGTGGTTTTGGACTATTAAACATTGACTATTCACAATTAAAATCCAATTATATGGAGAACTATGATACTGTGAAGCTTTGGAGTGAGCATTAAAAGATACCTTACATCCATAAGACTAATATAGATGATGATTTAAATCCATAGCCTGATAAGACTCAAGCCATACTCCGAATACTAATATGTCAACGCTAACTTTCGCTAATACACATGAAAACAGACATGTGCTCATGGCTTCTGGTTTATCGTGATATCAGATGTGAAGCAGAATAAATGAAACCTGTCAGTTTCTTAACAGTTGAACATGCAAGTTTTTAAAAAGATAATCATATTATAATTGACATATTTTTCAATGTCCAAAACAGGGCACTGTCATTGCTGTTTGTTAGTTTTCTGACTTGCTAGCTGCTATCACATTTTAAGCCCTTCATCCTGATTTTGCTTGATACTGACTCAGACAATTTGCATAATATATACAGTAATTATCTTATTTATCAATCTTGTCCTTTTCGTGTCAATTTTGCATGCCAGACTTGTGACTCTGTAATGTTGAATGATAACCACCAGAATCCAGTCTGGTGTAAAACTACATGGTGTGATAATATGGTGTGAATGTGAACTAAATCTAAAGAGTTCAAGATATGTACACAAATTTTGTGTTTTGTAAGTAAGTACATGGACAAAGTGATAACTAATATCTAAAATGTTTATAGAATCTGCCGTCAAAATTTTAATGACAAGGTTTCTAAAAGGAAAGCTAAGACAATAGATTAAAGGCAAATATGTGATGTTATGTAAGAGAATTCATCGGAGGAGGAAGCTAATTATTACCTTTCCTCATGGCTGCTTCTCCTGCCTGTTGGAAAGCCCAGTCACTAGAATCAACCTGGTGGGCCATACCTGTGAGTGAGAAAGGTTAAAATATAACACAAGAAAGCCCAGTCACTAGAATCAACCTGGTGGGTCATACCTGTGGTGAGAAAGGTTGAAATATTACAAAGGAAAGCCCAGTCACTAGAATCAACCTGGTGGGTCATACCTGTGGTGAGAAAGGTTGAAATATTACAAAGGAAAGCCCAGTCACTAGAATCAACCTGGTGGGCCATACCTGTAGCGAGAAAGGTTGAAATATTACAAAGGAAAGCCCAGTCACTAGAATCAACCTGGTGGGCCATACCTGTAGCGAGAAAGGTTGAAATATTACAAAGGAAAGCCCAGTCACTAGAATCAACCTGGTGGGCCATACCTGTAGCGAGAAAGGTTGAAATATTACAAAGGAAAGCCCAGTCACTAGAATCAACCTGGTGGGTCATACCTGTGGTGAGAAAGGTTGAAATATTACAAAGGAAAGCCCAGTCACTAGAATCAACCTGGTGGGTCATACCTGTGGTGAGAAAGGTTGAAATATTACAAAGGAAAGCCCAGTCATAGAATCAACCTGGTGGGTCATACCTGTGGTTTTAAAGGTTGTTATATTACAAAGGAAAGCCCAGTCACTAGAATCAACCTGGTGGGTCATACCTGTGGTGAGAAAGGTTGAAATATTACAAAGGAAAGCCCAGTCACTAGAATCAACCTGGTGGGCCATACCTGTAGCGAGAAAGGTTGAAATATTACAAAGGAAAGCCCAGTCACTAGAATCAACCTGGTGGGCCATACCTGTAGCGAGAAAGGTTGAAATATTACAAAGGAAAGCCCAGTCACTAGAATCAACCTGGTGGGCCATACCTGTAGCGAGAAAGGTTGAAATATTACAAAGGAAAGCCCAGTCACTAGAATCAACCTGGTGGGCCATACCTGTAGCGAGAAAGGTTGAAATATTACAAAGGAAAGCCCAGTCACTAGAATCTGCCTGGTGGGCCATACCTGTAGTGAGAAAGGTTAACATATAACAAAGGAAATCCCAGTCTCTAGAATCAACCTGGTGGGCCATCTAAGAAAGATCTATTAAGGATTTCTGAGGAAATAGAATTACAAACTTTCTTAGTCATAATCAAAGATGGCTGTCTGTCAGCTATTCAAAAGTTTACCACTAAGGATCAAACGGATATCTACTGATGAAATTTGAAAAGATCCAACCAGCACTTCTCCAGAAATAGAGATAACAATCTATTACAATAAAAATCCATGATGGCTGACTGTCGGCCATGTTGTTTTTCTAATCTGTCGATAAATAAGACCATGTTCGACTAGGAACAAAGGGGAACCTACATATGAAATTGAGAAGATCCATCTAGTGCTTCTCAATAAATAGCAATGACAAGAATTGCTTACGGACAGATGGACAGATGACGGACCACAGACAGCGGACCACAGACACAGGGTGATTTGAATTGAGAATCAAGTGTGAAATATAAAGGGTCATTCAGCTCTTATGTAGGAAAAGTTATTAGTACTTGATTCTGCACCTTGACATAACCTGACTTGTCTTTTACAGTATGTTAGTCAAAAACAATACACCCTTGTGCTTTTGCTTCATTTGTTTTCTTTTTTAAGTTTATTGTATTAACTATATGTTCTCATGTAATTTTTCCTGATCATTTTGTGTAGCTGACCAGCTTTTAGAAACTTACCATCTGTTAATCGGATCATAACTCCTGATGCTTTGAAACCACTCAATTCCCCCTTCAAACAAGCCTCTCTGAATCCCTGAAAATAATAGTTTAAAATACTTTTTCATCAAATGTTCAATGATGTGCTGAATTTGATCTTGAATTTTCAGAAATAAAAGTCCAATTAAAAATGATATTCAAACATTATAAATGTGATTATTTAAAAGTACAACTTGTTTAGATTACAAGTTACCAACAAAGAGCATCACCTTTCAGCCTTATAATGTACTTAGTACAAGATAATTTCACACATATTGTATAACACATCTCATCGAGCTCTTGCTTCTAAAGACTTACCTTTTCAATAGCCGCTATGTAATTTTTTGGTATAGCTGTTCCCATAGTTTCATCCTGAAATATAATCTTGGTGTTTTCTTGAGGTGGAAGAGGCTGAAATAAGGAAAATTCAGGTCATGATTAACGATTAAACCAAATGAAAAAAAGGGGCAGTAACTCCTACAAACCGTGACTAACTGAAGATTACATAGCTCAACAAGGCCCTAGCCTTCAATAAAGAGTGACATAATCAAAAACTAACAACATACTCATAAGGGGTGACTATTGAGGCAATAAAATATATATCAGTTAGTATTACGGTAGTAAAAATTACTATTGTGATATCATTGCAAGTATCCAGTGACTATTGGGACACTATTTCTCATTTTTTGACCCTTAAATTATGTTTTTAAAAACCCAGATATAAAACAAGGTCACTAACCTATCAAAATGTGTCAGAATGCTCAATTTAGCAAATGTTAGAGCTGTAAAAATGATTACAATTTTCATACAAACAAGTAGGTTGTACAGTAATATTTGTTACACTTTTTTATATTTTCATATTATTTATCTTATACATAGAAGTGCTATTCTGTGAAACTCATATGCACAGCTGGACTCAAGACTACAATATTATATTCATATCAATCTTAGCTTTACAATAAATGTATCAATTTCCTCATTATTTCAAACTTTTTTATGTTTACAAAGGTGAATGATTGATTCATCGATGATATAATTATTTGACTTTGACACCAATTCATATACATTTCATACATTGTTGACAGATCATACGAATGCAATCTTTTCTAATAAATATAAATTACATTCTGCCTCACCTCTACAGATCCTACAACTATCAATTCTAAACACTATAAATTACAAGCTGTCTCACCTCTACAGATCCTACAACTATCAATTCTATACAATATAAATTACAAGCTGCCTCACCTCTACAGATCCTACAACTATCATTTCTATACAATATAAATTACAATCTGCCTCACCTCTACAGATCCTATGACCTTAGCATATTCTCCTCGTCCTCCAGTCTGTTTCTTGTGCAAATGTTCAAATCTGAAAATATTAAAAATATATCGTTGTGCTAAGCCAATATCACAAAGCAGAGAGAGTTAATACAATTGCACCAGCTGTTCTTCACTATTATAATGTAGAGTTGTTAATTGGACATATTTATCATAGCGGCCGTCTGGTTTGGACTAATCCACATGTTTCCAAATGTCTATAATTTATAAAGATAGAACAGAGGAATCTATACACTCTAAGGACGTTTGTAGTAATTTACTATGTCGACATCTTATGTATGCTATGCGGCCTTCCTCAAGATAATTTAAACAACTTCCCTAAGCCATGAAATACAATTTCACCTCTCAATATGGCAGCAGTTGTTAGGTCAACACGGAGACATTATGGAGATAAAACACTGTGACGTCATAATTCTCCTAGAGCTGTGATTAACCATGTTATTCTATAATTAATGACAGTTATATTTTTGGAAAATCACTAGCTTATATTTAATCAGATATAAAAGATGGCTAACGTTAGGATCGTCCATTTGTTACTGTCTATAATTTGCAGTAATGTATACAAGTATAACAGATATTTTCAGCGATTTTAATTCACTGTTATGCGCAAATGTTTCCTGGGTATTTGATTATCCTTTAAATCTAATTGCTGTAAATAATGGAAAATTATATACCCTACAAACTACACAGTCCAATGTACAGAGTCATAGCAAATATGTCACAGAATATTGCAGACATATTCAGGGCAAAAATGTCACAGAATACTGCATAAGTAACAAGATTGCCGTGGACACAATATACGCCGCCACAAAACATAAAGATCAAGATTGGTCCTTTTAATTATTCATGCATATCTACCCATTGTAGTAGTGACATTGAGCAAGTTTCATGAAAATCTGATGATTAGTTTAGGAGGAGTTGCGTTCACAACAAATGGACGTACGGATGGACAGACAGAGAAGATAACACCAATATACGACCGCCTCTGGCCGCGTATAAAAATTATTCTGATAAATAAGACAATTGTTAGATGATTTCAGGATGTACGTGACAGCTGATGTAAAAAAATATTTACTTACTCCACTTTATTGGTTAGTGTTTCTATAAATGCGACCCTTGGTTTTCCCAGGATGCACTTGGCATTAAATTCCCGTTCTAATCTCTGTAAAATACCAAAAACAGCAGCTGAGTAAATAAACTGACAAGGAAAATATTCAAATATCAAATATCATGTTTACATATTAAGTTTTAGGAAAGACAGGGTTTTTTCTACTCTTTTGGGTAAAAACCTTTTTATTTCATTTCAGAAAGAACACTGATCAGTTGAAATGGAAATTTTATTGAAAAATCATTCATTTTCATGTTGGGTTTATCTTTGTGGAGTTTGTGTGTACTTTTCATCCAAGAATTTATTTGTGAATGACCCATTGAATTAGTACAAGTGGATTTATTGGGTTTTCATTTATCCACGATATCAAGCATCTATGAAATATCAGTTTTTGAAAATAAAACGATGGAAATGGTGAAAAATATTATCCCCTTCAAAATAACAGACTCTACATTACTACTAATGTATAATAATACCATATATGGAGTTAGTACTCTATTTCCTTACTTGACTCACCTGAGCATATATGTCTAAATGTAACTCGCCCATTCCTGATGCAATAGTTTCCTTATTCTCCTCATCCCAATAAACACGGAAGGTTGGGTCTTCCTTTGTGAATCGACTTATACCTTTTGAGAAATTCTCATTTGACTTTTTGTCAACTGGCTTAATAGACATGGATATAACAGGTTCTGGCACATGCATACTTTCCTGGAACAAACGATTATCACATTATAGTATTATAGAGATCCCACAGCTGATAATGTTTATCTCTTTATGATTAGAACAGTACAAAGTTGTATCGCCACAACCCTATGTCTATATATTCCTATCACAAAGGCAGCTTAGTATACACATTGTAGTACTTGGTTTTCCAGAAATGGAGAACACAATACTTCATATCAAAATACAAACTAGTTTGTAACTGCTGCATGAAATAAAGGTCAAATTCAGCCTCAGTAACCTGTATTTTTAGAACTCCCTCGGTGTAAAATCACAATGTTGTAAACCAGGAAACATTTGGTTGTGGTTTCTTATGCTTTCACTTAGAACTGATTAATTGCATTCAGTGATAAATTTTCTCCCAAAACAGTCAAATATTAATTTTAGCATTTGCCTACACTTCATTTTTTCTCTCTTCACCCAACGGTGAAGAAAGCGAAGATCAAACTCCAGCTGAAGTTTCCCTGTACACAGTGGTTGGCTTTGGCAGACAGTTTTATCTAAATTCCGTTAGAGATTGAGGTGCTAAGGTAATGATACTGCTTCAAGACATATACAGAAAATCAGTTCAGGACATGAAAGAATACATTGGAAGGGGACAGACAGACACACATGGGGAACTGATGATGTCATCTGTAAAATTTTGGTATATAAGAAGATGAGCAGACACCCAAATGAAAAGACAGATGGACAAATGGACCACCAACATCCAAAACTAAAATCAGTAATTACTTACCATTGACAAATGGGTATTGCCCTTGGTGACGAAAGTATCTCCACTGGCACAGTCTATCCCAAATAAAGCCGAGATATCGCCTGCATATGTCATACTTAGATCCTAAAATGAAAATAAAACAGTCTTAAATTTGGAAAATTTCTTCAAAAATCAACATTCAGTAACAGCAGCATTTAGGTTATGAAATATTTACCTCCAATTCATCAGCATTCATACGCCCAAGACGGGGTACCCGAACCTTCTTGCCTGTCCTTGTGTTGAAGATGGTATCTCCTCTGTTCAGGGCACCTTGGTAACACCTCATGTAGGTCAACTGGCCAAATCTCCCAGCCTACAACAGAAAATGTGATAAACATTAGTGCTGTGTATTGCGGACAAAACCATATTGCAATGTATTGCAATATCCAACAAGATATTGTGGTATGTATTGCAATATATTGACTTTAGTTACATGAATATGAAATGCCTATTGTACCCGTTTTGGTGAGGTGCATAAAGCGGTGACTTCTGAATGATTTATTGCGTCACATGCATTGCAAACTTGAAGCCGAACAATATCATCGTTTCTGGAGAAGCTTAAGTGAGTACTCATTCCTATACTTACAATCACTGAAACAAGAAACTTGAAGCTATGTATGTCAGTTGATTACGATCATGTCAATATATTATTACAAAATGATTAAGGTTTAATATCTTGTTTTATGTGATTTTAGATAATCTTATATATGAACCTCATGTGCAAATTTCGAAAGAATTCTGTGTTTAGTAGCACCGATGCTGTGAATAAGTATGTCAAGAATTACAATAACGAAAATGCATGATTTTAACATGGCGATCAAGCGTTTCAAAGACCACGTAGCAACAATATGACAATCTTGTATGTTTGTTTCACATTTAAACAATTTACGTTATTTGTGTTAACAAATATTGTGAAAATTGTGATTACTGATAAACATGAATAAACCATTGCGATATACCGGATTTTAGGGATTGCATACCGGTATATTGTATCGACCTCTGTACATTGAGGTACACCGGTATTTCGATAATATCTCACAGCACTAATAAACATGTAGGTCAGCAGGTCAAGTCTCCCAGCTTTTTGAAGACACTATACATATCAATCCTTTACAGACTTATGACAACAGGAAAACGTTATCAACTTATTCAATGTCAGTAGAGATATTGTTTGAACAGATGACACTTATTTCTCTTAAACCTCTGTTAAATTTTTGAACAAGAAATATTTGTTTCTGCAATATATAATTCCTTTTCTCTAGAGAAAACACACTTACTTCCAACTTAAAAGCAAGACCAATGAATGGATTGTCACTTGTCCTCGCTGGATTCATCACAACTTTTTCTTCCTTCCTGAACAAGAGAGTAAACATCGATTACTACACCTACTAAACACATGTCACTTTCTAAATAACATAAAAAGGGAGGTAACTGCATAGAGCCAAAGGAGAGAATAGAGAAAGATAGCTGTTGGCACTTACTTCAAATTTTTTAAGTCAGACGCTTTAAGGAACATACAATGTTGTTTAATTTTGCAAGGCTAATAATTTGTGGATGTCAAAGTATGAGTGAATTCATGTGTATTACATTTTGCCCATGTCTATACATTATTACCTTCAAAGATCGTGCTATCTATAATGACCACAACTATAGCAAAATTAAACCCCCACAAATATAGCCGACTATACAGCAGCAATTAAACACTAAATCAAACCTACAAAAATATTTTCCATATCGAAAATGGTGTCCATAGATAACTGGTAGTCTTTCATACTACATGACTGCAGTGTTTATACTGCTTTCTTTTGACCTTATGTTACTTACCCCTCAACACTGTTGTCAATACAAAAGTTTTCTACTTCTGTGGGGTTGGGAAGATACCGCACCACAGCATCTAACAGTGGCTGCACACCTTTGTTCTTGAGGGCAGATCCCAGCATGACTGGGGTAAAAGTACGTTTCAAACATGTTCTTCTAATGGCATCCTAAAAGATTGAAATTCATTGGGGCTATTATAAATCCATTACTTGTTGTTTCATACGTGAACATACATATGATATATAAAGGTGAAGGGAGGTAACTATGTCCTTTCTCTGCATATTTATATATATATGATGAGCATGCAGTTCTAATTTTCTTCAGTATTCAAGAACTCAAGACCTTTCCTTCAAGATACAATAAAAATTGGTGGTTTTCACAGCTGCTATAACATATTCTAAATTAATCTGCAAAATGCAGGACTTCAGCGAGATTGTATTCGGCCTTCAGCAAGTTTAACAATCCATCGTTGAAGGCTTTAAACAGGAATTTATCTAAAGATAAAATTCAATATACATTCTTTTAAAATTTCTGATATCCTTTTTACTACAATGGAATTAGCAATACATAGGTATATGTTATTTATCTTCATTCAACGTTATCAAATGGAAGGAAAAACTTAAAATATACAAACATGAATTTCTTTTTCTGTTGGTGTTTTCTCTTCCAGGAATAAGTCTGCTAAACTCTCATCAGCATCTGCCACCCTTTCTGCAATGACAGAGTTACATCTTTTAGTACTTGCAAGTAAGTACTTCATGTATGGTATATGTTAATAATGAATCATCTCCTTTCTACTGACCAATCAGGTCCTGGTTCTTACAGACCAATCAGCTCTTGTTTATAATCTTACTAATCAATCACCTCCTATCTAGTATGTTTGTCTTAGTAACTTACAAACCAATTAGATGTCAAGTGTCTTTATCTTTAGTAACCAATCAGCTGTTAATAATTGTACTAACCAATCAGCTCCTACCAAGAATGCTTGTCTTACTGTCCAATCAGCTCCTGTTTAGTATCTTACTGACCAATCAATTCCTTTTGTAATTTTACTGACCAATCAGCTCCTTTTTATAATTTTACTAACCAATCAGCTCTTGTCTAGTATCTTCAGTCTGTGCTCTCATGTCCGGTGGAATTTCTTCTTCAACAACATTGAGACTAAAATCAAATAAAAAAAAAGATAAAACAAGAGGTCAATGTGCCTCACCAGACAGAAACCGAGTATTACCACAAGCATAATTTTCTGACAGTAAGCAAACAAGAATTTTGCTTTTATTTCAATCAAAATTTAAGTGTCATATCAACAGCAGTAAAATTCTCATCTGTACAGCTCTTTCATTTTTTATTTTCACTATTTTGATATATCCAACAAGCATGGAACAATTATATAGACAAATATCAGGTAAACAGATAAGATTCTATACCACAATTAAATACAACACAGGCAACAGATTACAACACCCTAAACACATATGTTTTTGAGGTAATCTTATTTCCGTGGTTTCCTGATGAAAAGTAATCCACTAACTGTTCTATCTACAGCAGTGTTTGTAGATACACAATTCATCTTTGTACTAATATGCCAATAAAGTTATGATGGTCAACTGTCTCAACCAAACATGAGTTTTCTGCAGTGAAATATCGGAAAAAATTAACACAAACAAAATTTAATTTGATATCAGCTGACATGTGATCATCTTAACTAAGCTTCCATCCCTTCGTAGCAGTGAGAATCTCAGCAAAATCAAACTTACCCCATTGGCCCATCAAAAAAGACAGCTTTTCTCTCAATCACATCGATAATTCCCTCATGTTCCTTCTCTAATCCTACTGGCAGATGCAATAGAGCAGCATTGTGCTTCAGTTTTGATCTGAAAAATTAAAATGTATCAGTAAACAAATGCCTAATTTTAGAACAGAAACTTATACCTGAAAGACTACAGATATACAACAAATGTCATTTTCTACCCAAAAGTAGACACATGACAAATATCAGATTCTGAAGACAGCAATTCATTCACTTCTGGAATTACTGTAGACATATCACACATGCCAAGCACAGTAATTAATGCATTTCCTCAATGACTGTAGATATACCACAAACATCAATTTCATTTCAGTAATAATTACCATAACTTTAGTATGCTAATACAGTACCAACACCCATCTTTGTATCCCAACAACAAAAGATTCGAAACAATCCCGCCCTCCCTACGATCCATGAGCCATCACGACAGGAACACAAGAGTGAAAACCTAAAATTTCAAGGACAGCAATTTATTTGCTTCCTGTAGGACTTAAGATTAAAGACAGTTTTATAGCCCACATATGATAGTAGGGTGAAGTATCACTATTCAGACATTGTGGGGATGGGACAAAAGTGGTCTTACATATTTGGAGTGGTTTGACCATACAGAACTCCCTTACTGTCACTTTTGTTCAGTATGTAGCTTTAGACTTTTAAACATGCAGTACATATTCCTGAAAAGCCAGTATGACACCTCAATACAGCAAACAATCACACACCTGGATGTGGAATACACTGGATTTCTTACCTGAGTTGATTCAACACTCTGTAAGGGTTGGCTCCACCCCTGTCCAGCTTGTTGACAAAGGCCAGACAAGGAATATTATATCGTTTCATCTGTCTGTTTACTGTGAGCGTCTGGGACTGGACACCTCCAACCCCACACAAGACAAGAACAGCACCATCAAGGACTCGCAGTGCTCTTTCTACTTCAACAGTAAAGTCTATATGGCCTGGTGTGTCAATGATGTTGATGTTATGGCCCTGCCAAAGCACATATGTAGCTGCAGACTGTATAGTGATACCACGTTGTCGTTCCAGTTCCATGAAATCCATCTTAGCTCCAACAGCATCTTTGCCTTTTACCTAGAAGAAAATCAGATGAAATTGTATTAACTTTGTAAACATCTCTGAAGAATGTGAATACCTCAACTCCCGTTCCAACCAGAATCTGATAACATGTAGAACTTGATGTTATGATACTACAGAGTTAATATGAACCAAATTTGTTCACAGATTATCAAGCTATGATCTTTATTCAGAATGAGATGAGATGGGATGGGCTTAGGGGTCATATGAAGAGTTCAATACATTTAACTCTAGTGACCTCAAAAGTGGGTCAATGTCATTTATTAAAGAAACTGGAAAGCCCTTCACCCTATATGTTATTGGACAAATACCTTAACACTAGAGTGTTTACTTATTGTTTACAGGATAAAAATTGATTCACCACCCAGCATGTAAATTCCCTAAATATGCTGTGAGGTATTTACAAGTCTTAGGATAAGCGATACGAAAATTCTACAATTTGATTCCAGGATAGCTAACAGGCATCTCATCACAATAACTGAAATTAGCATGAGCTATGTACCCAACTGGGAACATATCTGATTCTAAGATTTCACATTCACAGTCTCCTGCTTTCACTGGCAAAATTGATGTAAAGTATTCCCTGTACTTCACAAGTAATGTAAATGTTGGTGGTTTTTGACAGTTGAAATTTTGTAATTTGTCAAAAATTTCAACTTTTAAAGAGAGAATGTTATTTTCACAGATATGATTAAAATGGACTTTAGTCTCAGTATCGATTTCATTCAAATGTACCAAATTTTTATTATTTTTTTTTCTTGAAATTTGAATCCTTCAAAAATTACTATTTTAATGGCCAGAGACCGTCAGTACATGACCTCTTTACTTATGAGGAGACAAGGACTCCATTTTGATACCCCCCACTAACAGAATACTAACAGGGCACACAAAGATCGTAAATAAGACTTTATTCCATTTTATACCTCATGCATTTCTGCCAGTTTTCCTGTATAGAAGAGGAGTCGCTCTGTCAGTGTCGTTTTTCCTGAATCAATGTGAGCGGAGATTCCAATGTTTCGAATTTTCGAAACATCTTCCATGACATCCTGAAATCATTTAAGCAAATGACCATTGTAAATGTCTGGCAAATTCAACAAGATTACTGTAGGTAGATCAATTACACAAATATCTGTTTGTAAAGAAAGAAACTTTTGAAATTTCACACAGTTTTACTATTTTTGAACATGAGTGTAATGCATGACCCAAATGTACAAATCAACCAAACTGAAAACAAGGTTAACCATTTTACAGTAGAATTAAAGGAAAAAAAGAAAATGGAAAAATTTTTAAGTTTTTAGGAACTCATGCCTATTGGCCTCCTCTAAGATTATCATTGCAATAACATAAGCAACTTACTCCAAATGTTCTACCTCCTGCATAAGATGCTGCTGGTACATAATAGCCCTGCAAATAAAAAGGACAAAAATAAGAATTAGACAGGATAGATCTACATCTGTACAGATGGGCTTAATACAGCATAACATGGGTATTTCATGGTTTCCAGCCGTTCAATAGCAGGTATAATTCACCTGTATGACAGAATATACATATTTTCCACCAGCATAATAAATAGTCTAATTTGCTTACAATTCAATCAGCCATACATTGCATAGTGTAATCCAATGGACAACCATGACATTATAACAAATGAATGCAAAATTCTCAAAACTTGCAATCTACTCCTTAAAATTTTCCTTCTCATTTCACCAACATTCTTCACAAAATTGGGCAAAACTGTCCCATCACAAACAATGTGTAACCCTGGTAAATACTAGTCACAATATACCAATCGGCTTCTCTTTAACTCGATTAGTTGAGCGTCAGACTAATTAGTCAGAGGTCGAGGGTTCGATCCCTAGCGGTAGCATTGAAATAAATAATAAATAATAGATGTTTCTGGGTTTTTTTTGTTTTTAACTTAATGTTTCACTTTCATCAATGACAAGACTTACTTGTGTTTATATAACTATAATTGATACACTTATATCAAAGGCCTATTTTTTAAACTTCAATGAAAGGTGTTCCAGATACATAAAGTTTCCATTTCGAAATCAGAGATAAGCGAACTGAGTGAATGAGAATATTATCTTCGTTTTTGTTTTGCTACCATTCAGCCTCGAGCACTAGCTTTGCACCGTCTGACAGTTGCCGATCGATGCGGTGAACGTGATGCATTTCAGCTTTAAGCAGCTTTCAATATGTATCACTGTCTTGAGACGTCTTACCTTTGGCAGTCTGGTACATTTACCTATACGTAAACATGAACGTGCGTTGGCTACACTCAACAACTTCATTTTCATAGGTAGTTAGATAACGTTTACGATGACATTGATTCCGTAACAGTACCATGTGCACAGGAAGTTATCTAGCAAATAATGCGCACGCGCAAGTCTCTGACATTAAGAATGTTAAGGTGAAATCTTGTACACCGCTCCCGGACGCGATTCCAAAAATTAATGATACCTGGACTACAAATAGAAAACAAACATCTCAGAAAGAAGGTAATACACCATGAACTATTTTTTCATCTAGCTTCTTTTACATAAGTGATCTAAATATTTCAGGATATGAACAAAAATAAAGATAAAAAAAAAAAAAAAAAAGAAAAGAAAAAAAGCAACATGACAACATAATCATAATTCAAATTCAACAAAACCACTATGACAAAAAAACCCAATAAAACGCTGAGGCAAAAAGATCGAGAAAAGACATCTATACGAAGACTCCTGAATAACTACAAGGAGAATAAGATCAGGTGTTCCTGAAGAGTAAGCGTCTTCTGCTTCATTGGCGAAACCCGTCATGTAAACCTTGGTCAATCCAAGTAAGCCATTTCACGTTCTTAAATGAGAACAAGACATACAATAACGACTAACTAATGAGCATCAAATACGTCCAGCTTCAAAGAAATAGAATAGTTCTCAATGAGATCACTATGGCGACATTGCGCCATTTTGGAAAGCTTAACAAGATGTTCTGTAGATTTTGGCCTATATACTTTATGACTTACTTCCATATAGTTGATGCTGTGATCGTATGTGTAGCCAAACAGTTTCAACATTTTCCCGTATTTCTCTTAGCACAACTCTGGACGTTTTTGGCAGAATTCTACACAATTTTGCATGGATTAACACCATAGATAGCAGTTAATGTTGATTTGGTGGATAAAGTGAACAAAAGTATCGACAAGTCAACAGAATCTTAATTCAAGCTTGATCCATTTCGATGCAACTTGGCCAAAAACTGAACGAAACGATGAAGACGTTTAATCCGACTTTTATCACATCGCTTTGAGATGCATCCAGACCGATAAAAGAAAATTCGACAGAATATCACTAATCCCGACTAGATGACATGGAACCATCCCGTTTTCCCTCCCATATAAAATACAATAATAAGACCAGGTGTTTCTGAAGGGTAAGCGTTATGCAGAAGCAGCCCTGCTTTACGACGATACCTACAATGTAAATCTTGTTCAATACAAGTAAGTAATGACAAATAAAAACGAGGTTAAAAACTGGGCCACCAGACATGCACAAAGCCCAACGTCGTGAGCGAGCTTCAAACAAAACTTGGAAAATAAGGAATACTTAAATAAGTATTTATATAAAACTAATGATAATTTTAATGATCGTAACCACTATACAACAAGTTGACTGATTATATCTTAACTAAATTAGATTATCTTAAAACTTATGGACATTATAAAAGCCGGTTTATTTGTCGAAGTACGTGTAATCTGGAGTTACAGCCCTTTAGCAAAACTTTAAGTGAACGTTTCATTTATAATAGATACTATACAATTACTGGTGATGAATTGCATATGATCAAAATCAATATAACGACAATATACTATTACCAACTTAAAATGGACATTGTCATATTTCTTTCGTCTATCAACGGTTGCAAGATGGCTATTCATAGTTGAAGAACTGATCTATGCATATTCTGATCCCCTCAGGTCTGAAATAATTATTAATGGAAAAAAGAGTGTTCGCTAGGAAAGGAAAAACATAACTTGTTTGGTTTTTAAACAATATCATTTTTTTAATATAAAAAAATAAACATAAAAAAATAAACCTTATTTATGTTAATCTCTTACCAGGGACTTATAATACTGTTATATACGTCCCTGCTTTTACTGACTGGTGGTTATTTTGTTCATATAATATTATGTACAAGTCATTATTAGTTCGCGTTTTTCTCCAAACACAAGCCGGATATGAATTTTTTTCCGCTTTCGTAACCTCAATCTAAGTACTGACATTTAGATATTCTGATAAATTATGAATTTCCTGGACTATAAAACTTCCCTAAACTTATGATCAGATCTCCACGCAACGTAAAGCAGAATGCACACAGTTTCGTATCAGATTAAATGTATTGTGATTATGAAGTTTCGGGGACAATAATGACAAGTGCAGAATTATTTCAGTCTTGTTATTTAGTAAGTAATTTGTGATTTAAGTTAATTAGTAGACTACAAAGGAATTGTGAAATAACCAATAAATTGCGAAACTAAGAGCGTATAATTTGTATGGGGAGTTTCCAACATGGCGGCCTGAGCCCAATGTCAACATGACGTGTATTCGTGTTTTGGAAATGTCGATATGCTAGTTGATCTCGTAAGATTTGTGAAGCTGTAGAAACATTAAAAACAAAGATGTCGGTTGCATTGGAGGAAGAGGAGCAGGTGCTCACCGTGCATAAGACAGATAGTGCAACTATCCTCATCCTTCTTGGAATCCTTCTACTAACGATTCTGACGATCTGGCTCTTCAAACACCGCCGGCTTCGATTCGTGCATGAATCTGGTCTGTCCATGATCTACGGTAAGTCAATCACCATGTTGACTGGTTGGATCAATGGTTGCATATTATCGATAACTATTGATGGTTCGTTTCTTGAGGACATTATTAAACTGACGTTGGTTGACAAGAGATTGAACAGCTGAAGATCGAGACAGTAGTACTAGTACCTCGTGTGAGCATATATTATATTTAGGATAAATATTCAGTAACTGAAAGGCAAGAGACGGGACTGGAAGCACAATTTTCATTCCTTTTACTCCGAATAAACCTGATATGCATTTAAAGCTAATAATTAAATTACTAATGGTTGAATATATATTATCCATAAGAGATACTTAGGTGCATATGAGAATGAGTCACGTTTCCATTTCTAAGGCTAAATGACGTTACAAATTGTTTAATCGTTTGCAAAAATAAATACAAATATGCTGAGTGAAGAAAAATTGTATTGAATAGTTGTATTGACAAAATCACAAATTATTTTCTACTATATATTTTACAACATTTTGCATTGTTAGCTTTGTTATGCTTGCCTGACACAAATTACTTTGCAGCACCCAAACTGCAGTGTTGAGAAATGGTTGCAATGTTACTATTGATCATCTGAACAGATCGATGATTGATTGATAATCAATGGGAAGGACATACATCTCATTTTTTAAAGTGATAAATTGATAATATCGTACATTAATGAAGAAGAATTTAAAAGTGTTTTGTACTTCACACTTTCTTGCTTGGAAAGTCATGAAGAATGATCTCCACCATGCATTTTGATTAGGTTTGTTCCATGCACATTGAAAAATAATGTTTATCAAGCACTTTTGTGGAGATGTTAATCAACAAGATGATTAATCACTTTGGCAAGATTGAGATTCAAGATTTTTTTCTGCTGAAGATAGGAAAACACAAATGTTACTCTTTCATTTACTGACAATCAATCATGAATGATTGTAGTCAATTAATTAGTTTATTGATGTAACCAACCTATACGAGACAAAGTTGATAAATTGGATCATCACTACCAAATAGGTCATCAGTTGAAAACAAAAAAAACAAAAAAATCTCTTTAAAAAACACTATATTATATCGAAAAACATTAGATTGTTACTATAGTGACATGACTGTAACTATTAAGCCCAAAAATATTTCATATAGTAACAATTTCAATATTTTTCAATGTAATATAGCATTTTTAAATAAATTTTAAATAAATAAGTCATTTTTTAAAGTTCTTGTCACTTAGGGCCTTTCAGCTTCCCTATAAATGATTTTTCTTTCTTCCAGGATGCAGAATTTAAGAGAAGTTGATTCATTTAAGATTACATGTGAATGATTCTTTTCCTGCTTGCGTTGCAGGTATGATTGTGGGTATGGTCATCCGCTATGGGAGTTCAGCCAGCACGGAGACACCAGAAGTGATGCTTAGTGGAAATGATACATTCTACGCATTTCAGCCACCATCATCTCTAATCCTCAATTTGAAATCTGAAGAAAATGATACAAACAAAGCTCATTCTCTTAAGTACAATCTCTGGGGAATGGTCAACGAGAATGCGGAAATGGCTCCCATTGTTCGTGCGGTAAATATACTTATTATGATCAGATTTTACTGTTACAAGTAGCAATATTAATTGAGAATCACACCCAGTTTACTGTATACAACGAAAAAAACTGTCCGGGGTTTTTGTGCTCTTGTATTATTTTAAAAGAATATTTTTATAAAATCAGAATTACACAATTTTGCCAAGCTGTTTGAAATTTGCCCTAAACATGTACTTTTAAAATTAACTTGGCTTCTTCAGGAGTCCTACCTTCTGTAGCTTTTTCAGAAGAAGCTAAAGAAGGAATAAAGGCTTTTTGATTTTTGTTATTTAATCCTATTTATTTCTTCACACAGGAATTAGTTTTTATTCTATGCATATATCTACATATTTATATAATTTTCTTGAAGCTGTTAAACAGACACAAATTCACTCGCAGTTTGCTAATTTAACTTTTTTTATGGTATGAATATCTTACTTGATTTATACTGAGATTGTTCTTGAAAAGTTTATTGTTCTTTTAATTCAAACAATTACTTCTTAAAATGCATGACAGTTATAAATCAGCAACAGGGAAAGGATTTCAAAATTTAATTCCTTGATTGATTCTTTATCACTGATTCTTATTTTGTAGGTAACTTTTGACCCAGAATTCTTTTTCAACATCATGCTGCCTTTCATTATATTTGAGGCCGGTTACAGTATGAAACGGGTAAGTATTGACAAGATATTAGTTATAGATTTGTTTGTTATAAAGTTATTTTGAAGGCAGTGCTCACAGATGATGAAGCCATGTGAAAGTTCTTTACCAATAAAATATAATTATTACAATCTAACCGAGAAACTGTTTCATTGCCAAGTGCAAATAATATTAAAAACACTAGATATTCTGTGGAAACTCATTGGGGGTGTGGTTGAAAAATCTTCATTGTTGATGTTCTTACACAAACTACACATCTCAATGGTGTGAAGGTTTTTTTTTACAATTTGTGTTTTTATTTTCTTGCTAAGTAAAAACATATATCAGATTTTAAGAATTAAGTTTAAAAATAATCTCGCCATGGTTTCTTTTAAAAATTAGAAAAAAAAATCAATGATTTTGAATTGTATGTTTGGTTGGTTCATAAAGTATCATTACAGTGCATGTATTTGTTTTGAGCTGAAGCCTGAGTGATGAATTAGCTTTTTGGTGTAATGTGTCATTTCTCTGTGAAATGTCCCAGAACTAGCATTAAATCAAAAAGTCAATAGTATTATCTATCATTAAAGAATGATATTTTCATCGAATAAGTTTTCAGGCTTTCGCTCTTTTATATCCTGCTGTTGAAGAGTCCTGAAAATATTGATCGAAACTTAGTAATGCTAAATTTTTTTATTAACATTTTTTAAAAAATCATGAAAAGTATTTTATGATGTTCCTGCTTTCATGCAGAACAGAAAATCAATTTCTGTTACATGCATTCTGGTACTACTGGATGCTGAAGGCATTGATAAAAATGTTTAAATTGATTTTGATGTTGTCTCCACTTAGCTGGCAATAAGCCCATGTCTGGTAATAAGCCCATCCATAACAAAAATGCTAAAAAATGCTGTTTTATTGTCCTCCAAGAATCCCCCTCTCCCTCCTTTGGAATTCCTTTACTTCTCAGACAACATGCTAAATTTCTTTATTTCAGAGACATTTTTTCCGAAATTTTGGAGCCATAATGACATATGCTTTCATTGGAACAACTATATCTTGTTGTGTGGTAGGGTAAGTATTATGTTCACTACAGTATAGTCTATAAGGTGTGATGGTAAGGGTAGGGGGTTTTGTGTGGTAGGTATAGAGTAAGTGAAGGTATAAATAGATACAGACACTATGATAATGACACCATGGTAAGGGTGGGGGTGTTGTGTGGTAGGTATAGGGTAAGTAAAGGTATATATAGATATATACTGTATAGTGTTGGTGTAAAGATGCCATGGTGAGGGTGGGGATGTTGTGTGGTAGGTATAGGGTAAGTAAAGGTGTATATATAGATACATACACTATAATAAAGACACCATGGTGAGGGTGGGGATGTTGTGTGGTAGGTATAGGGTAAGTAAAGGTGTATATATAGATACATACACTATAATAAAGACACCATGGTGAGGGTGGGGTGTTGTTTGGTAGGTGTAGAGTAAGTAAAGGTATATATAAATACATCTCTATAGTGTTATTGTGAAAGTGCTACGGTAAGATGATATACACATGTCCACTTGTTTTTGTTTTGGTCAAGCCTTTGATGTGCCATACTCTTGCACCTTTATTGATTTCTACAAATTGATATGATTTACTTACAGAGGGATAATGTATGGACTCACGAGGTTGATGGATATCACTTTTAGTTTAAATGATTGTTTTTTCTTTGGAGCAATAATCTCGGCTACAGATCCAGGTATGTAAACTAATTTCAGGTTTGAAATATTTAATAAAGTATATAGAGAATATCTCTGTCCCTAAATGTACACACCAGACAAGAAACCTGTCTTCCAAGTGTTACGTTTTCTGTACATGTCTGGTACATTCTGTGTGTAGAAACCATTACATGGTAACTTTATAATTAAGATGATGTCGTATCCATTTGTCATTCAGACATAGAACCCAAAATGGAAGGAATAGAATGAATTTGAAATGTGAATAATTGAAAAAGTTGTTATGAAATTTGAGAAAACTTTGTACAATAAAAAAAGTATTACACATATCTGTTTGAGATTGATTGATATCGGTCTTTGGCCCCAGTTGAGAGCTTGTTGAATCAGTAGCACATTCTACTACACCTGTACAACATATCCTGTAAATCTTCATCATTGATGTTTTTAATATAGTTGATCAGACATTGTGCCAAACACTAAGGTCGGACTCTGAGATAAGCTGATGATATTATCTTTTCATGGACTGATAATCTTTGTGTCAATATCTTGATGAAAATTGATTTCACTTGCATATAAAACTTTTCTGCTGTATTATAGTAGATATTTTGTGTATGTCTTGTTTTTGTCACAGAGAGAGTGCTGGCCATATTTAGATAATATATATTATTTGTTTGTCCTATTTTTGCCACAGTGATGGTGCTGGGCATATTTAGATAATATATATTATTTGTTTGTCCTATTTTTGCCACAGTGACGGTGCTGGGCATATTTAGATAATATATATTATTTGTTTGTCCTATTTTTGCCACAGTGACGGTGCTGGGCATATTTAGATAATATATATTATTTGTTTGTCCTATTTTTGCCACAGTGACGGTGCTGGGCATATTTAGATAATATATATTATTTGTTTGTCCTATTTTTGCCACAGTGATGGTGCTGGGCATATTTAGATAATATATATTATTTGTTTGTCCTATTTTTGCCACAGTGACGGTGCTGGGCATATTTAGATAATACGTATATGTATATATTTTTTGTTTGTTTTATTTTTGCAACAGAGAGAGTGCAGGCTATATTCAGATAATACATATTATTTGTTTGTCCTATTTTTGCCACAGTGACAGCGCTGGGCATATGTAGCTAATACATATATGTAGATATATTTTGTTTGTCTTATTTTCACCACAGTGACAGTGCTGGCTATATTTAGTGATCTGAAGGTAGATGTGGATTTGTTTGCCTTTGTGTTTGGAGAGAGTGTTCTCAATGACGCTGTAGCTATTGTATTGTCTGAGTAAGTAAACATTTGTCTACATTGTTTAAAGATTAAATTTTAGCTTAAGAAGTATCAGGTCCGATTTTCAGCATTTATTCATTTCTTAAAATATCTTAACTATTGATTTCAAAGCTGTCTGTCAATCATTTTCTATGATGTTTGCCAAGAAGCTGACACAGGGCTCTCACAACCCATTTTGGGATTGGGGCCCTTAGAATTGGGAAAAATAGTGGCATTTTCCTTAGAATTGGGAAAACTTGGGGTCTAAATTGGGAAAAAAAGATACTAATTTGCAATGGGAATTTGGCCCGAAATCTGGCAGATCAAGAGCCCTGTGACAGAAACTACAGATACGTAATATTTTATGTCAATTTTAAGTCTAAATGTCTATCCTGCCTTACTTTACAGTCAGACTTGCTTCAAAATTTACCTGTATATTGCAAATACCTCTCTTTAAAGACTACCTGTAAATAACAAATACCTGTCTATAGAGGTCAATAGTTTCGGCACCATTGTAAAAGAATTATTAGTAGCTGAACCTCCTTATAGAGGCCAATTGCTAAATAAGACATCTTTTTTCTGTTCCATTATAGACATGCATGACTAAATTGTCCTCACAATCCTTTGCGGCTTGTTCAAATGTCTATAAACATCACATTTCATGGATTTTAATCAATCATGTTGGTGAAAATCATTTGAGAAAAAGCAGGAACACATTACTGCCTGTCATATTCACAAAATCATACATTATGAGATACTGAATGTATCTTTTGTAGAAAAATATTGTACATTGAAATTAAAATGCATATAAGATTGTATGCTTAACTTTTATAAAAAAATATCAATAATGACTGATACATTCGCTATTTTCAAAGGTTTCAGTTTTTTCACTATTTTCAAGATTTTTGTTTTAACATTATTTTTGAGGGTGGTATAGAAATTTAAAAGTCAGATAATTTGAAAATGATTAAAATACAGACAACAATAACCAATGTCATGATTTCCATTAAAATACTCTCTTTTAACTTTCATCTTTTCACAAAAGAGTGGAAAACAAATTACAACATTATAATTTGCTGAATGGAAATGGAATTACTAAAATCATGCTACATTTCTTGATCTAGATCTCTGCAATACTTGAACTTTGGGTAATATGACTACATACATGTCTGTCAACTAGTGTTAAAATAACAGCTAAATCTGTTGAAGTATACAGGATAATACTGCTGTGTCACACTTCGTTTTGCTGTGTTATATCACATCATTTTTTTGTTCAGTGTTTTACCATCAACCAGATTTACTGTCTTCAATCACATAACAATTGTATGTGTCAATGCCATGCTTAAACAGTGTTTCATTTTGCAGAATAAAAATCTATCAGTATGAATTCCCCTGTTTCTACAACATTTTGTTTATTACTATTTCAATATTGAGTTTGTAAATCTGAGTTAAGGAACATATGAATGCCTTAAATCTGACAGATTATGGCAAGTGGATGGTGATGAGAACAGTGAATTCATCTTTCATCGTGACAGCCGGAGGGCGTGAATACCCAATCATAACAGAGACAGTGTTATTATCATCTGTCCAAAGCACAAATGTTTTCTCTACCACTCCTGTTTTCTCAAAAACGTTGACTCCCTCTAGCTCTGAGCCATCAAGAATGATTGACGAAAGTTCATGTTTCATAGTTTTTGTTTAACTCAAGTTGCTGCCATCCTGTAGTAAACATTTTTTTTTATATTTTGTCAATTTCATATTGAATTGCAGTTTGTGTTTTGTTTACTAAAATTAACATTAAACAATATTTTTCCTTAGGATTGGGGACTGTTTTTCTTTTGATATAAAATAGCAATGTTCAGTATCATGCTTTTAAAAGTACAATTGATATTTAATTCAAATTCCTTTTGATTATACATTACAGTTATGGATTTTTTTTAAAAAAGTTAAATCTTATTAAAACAATAAAAGGAAGATAGTAATAAAGGAAGAATATTAAAAAAAAATGAAAAATCATTTTTCCTGGAAGGGCAAGTGATGTAAAATTGGATTATAAGATACAAAAATGACAACAAAATTACGGTTGTATACTAACTGTGACTCTCATAACTGTTGATTTAAAATCTATTGTCAAAGGCATAATTGCCAAATATATTCAGCTTCTAGTCTTTATTTGTGCACATAATCAGTAAGTTTTGTATAAATTAATAACAAACCATGTATTGAGTCACAAAACTTTGAAAACTATACTAATTTCAGCCATAATATTAATGGCTGGATGTGGGAAGCAAAGCTTTGGAAGGTTGATTATCAAAGTTTTACAGACCATAACTTTAACTGTTTGGAAGAATTAAACACCAATTCTTATTCTTGGTCCCCAAATATCAATGGATCAGACGTAATGTGTTGGCCCCTGGGCTTTTTGAAGGATGTACACAGTAAATATAGCTTTCCTTTTTCCCAGTAAAATAAAAAAAAGAATGGATGTATGGAGGATGGGGACGGATGGTTACACTTAACAATCACACATATCAGTTCAGATAAAGTTGGACACTAATGTGGCTTCTTAAGGGAAACGACCTCACAGGTCTTTCCCGGGGTACTTTGGTTCCCTCACAAAGAAAGGCCCATCAGGCACTTCCATCAAGGCCAAAAATTGTGATAAATATAAATTGGAACAATTTATTTGCAATTGTTAAAAACTGGTTTTTTTTCTCTTCAAATTTTGCAATGACTATTTAAATATAGTCAGAATGTTAGAAGATTTAGCATTGTTTTTTGATAGATGTTGATCTTTCTTGTCAGGAAGATCATTGTCACAGACTTCTGTTGTAGTTTCAGGGACTATATTGTGTTTCTATATTCCACAGATCGGTGGAGACTTATGGTCAGTACGCTAGCACTGGTTTTAGTGCCAATGCTTTTTTCAAATCTCTCGGAAGCTTCGTTGGGATATTTGCCGGAGCGTTTGCCATTGGTGCTTTTATTGGCTGTCTGACAGCTGTCATATCCTTTAATCTTGTGTAACGGTTCTGATGTCTGAAAGTAATACAGTAATATACTACTAAAGTGAAAGTAGACCATCCATTCTATTGGCGATGATGTGGTACATTAACTGTAGACTGTTACTTAATTACTGGTCCTGATTTTAAAAAACTGACAGAGAAAGAAACTATATCACCAGCTTACACATTGCTGTAAAGGGCCTCTGTTTATTACGGTTTAATTTTGTATCTCCAGCTTACACATCACTGTAAAAGGCCTCTATTTATTACATTGTAATTATGTATCACCAGTTTACACATCAATCTAAAGGATCTTATGCTATTTATGATGCTTTGAGTGATAAGTCTTGTTAACTAAGTTATAACGGTATTAGTGTGAAAGAATTTTGATCTGATTCAAATTAGATACTTAACTCCAATCACATTACTAAATTCACGAAGATCCGGGACTTTCCCCTGCTGGAGACGGCCTTGTTCTTTCTCATGTCATATAGTACATTCCAGGCTGCTGAGGCTGCAGGACTCACAGGTAAACTGTTCTGTTTTATACAGGTAATAAACAAAGCATCAAGTGTAGGTCACTCAATGCCTAAATCAAACCTTTCATTGTTACTATAGCAGTGCCATTCTATAGGATCACACAAGCCATTTATACTGTTATACTGTTACTATTTTAGGAATTGTCGCAGCGCCATTCTATAGGATCACACAAGCCATTTATACTGTTATACTGTTACTATTTTAGGAGTTGTAGCAGTGCTCTTCTGTAGGATCACACAAGCCATTTATGCCTTTATACTGTTACTATTTTAGGAATTGTAGCAGTGCCATTCTATAGGATTACACAAGCCATTTATGCCTTTATACTGTTACTATTTTAGGAATTGTAGCAGTGCTGTACTGTAGGATCACACAAGCCATTTATACCAATATACTGTTTCTATTTTAGGAATTGTAGCAGTGCTGTTCTGTGGGATCACACAGGCACATTATACCTTTAACAACTTATCAGTTGAATCAAAACAGAGGACAAAACAGGTAAGTTTAATTATCAAACACAAATATATACAATGTATTCTTACATAAACTTTGATATACTTTTGTATGTTATTTATTTGATTAATAAATTGACGTAAGTTATCAACATTTAAGGTTTTGGTAGAGTAACTATTGATCCTTCCCATAAACTTTGTCCAAAATCAAGTAAGGATTATGAAACTTGGTGTATACATTGATCATACAAAGACAAATTGAATGTACAGTGTACCAAGTTCAGGTCTCTCGACCCCTCAATTACAGAGTTACTGCCCTTTGTTAAAGTATTGTGTTTGGAGCATAACTTTTCAGGGCCTGCAACCCCTAGATTACAGAATTATTACACTTTGTTAAAATTTTGTGCCCAATAAAGTTGTTTTTGGGGAGCAGTCATCAGTTTTACTGATACCCTTGTTACTGATATGCTTCAAGATCAACACATACATTGTATATTATTCATGTAATATAAAACCAGTTTTTTGTTACAGCATTTTATTTTGCTACTGTCTGATTTTTGCTATTTACTATTGTATTGGGAATATTATACTGGTAAACTTTGATTAAGGAAGAAATACTTTTAATTAAATATATTTTTAGCACCAGCTCTTCAACTGCGAATCAAATATGATTTCACTAAAATTTGATTTCTGATTTGGACATTAAATCGCAAAATTTGCCCAAGTTGAAATAATTGCATTATAAACTATTTATGTTTCAATGTTATCTTACTCTGGAATGACAATAGGGCTAATTATCCCATAACAGTGACTTCAGAGAGGATAATGTGTTCAGTTCGTACATACATACATACCTATGGTCACTTTTTGTCATCACTCTAGCAGTTTCACTTCTCAACAGAATATAATCAAACTTTGCATAATACCTTGAATGAGTTTGTGCCTCTACGTGCCAGGTTCAACATTAAGGTCACTGTTACTATTTATAGAAAATCTTCAACACAGCCTTGTTTTTAACATGTTAACATACTGTTTTTTCTGTTTTAGTTATTTGAGCTGACAAACTTCCTGGCAGAAAATTTTGTCTTTCTCTATGTGGGTGTGTCTATATTCACATTCCATGCACAGAAGTGGCATGCTGGCTTCATCCTCTCTACCTTCGTATCCTTATCTGTTTCACCTTGTGTGTTGGTAAACAACATATTGTCAATAATCAACAAAGTGACAAAAAAATTCAACACAGTGACATCATTTCAGAAAAAGAATAAGGATCACAAAGTTTTTTTTTCCTTTGGTTCAAGTTTTTTAAATGGTTTTATTTTTGCACTTTTTTATTTTCATCCTGAAAAGTGAAAGAAAAGTGAAAGATATAACTTTTAAAGAACAAATAAATATCAGTCATGGTGAGTGCAAAAATCCCTGTAGGATCCCTTGTTCAGAATTAATCAATATTTAACTTGCTGTCTATAGAACATATTCAGGAGAGAGAGAGAAAAAACTATGGAGTGTAATGTTGTATCTATATTTGACCTTAACTCCATTCAGCTTGCCATTATAACAGCAAGGTTTTGCAATATCTATCCATTGTCTTTGTTGCTCAATCTTGGTCGACGGAAAAAAATCAAAAGTTCCTTCATGAACATGATGATGTTTTCTGGTAAGTATTAAACATTGTGGTTAGTGTTGTATGTATGGTTAAAAAAATTAGTGTATTTGAGTGATTACACTGGAGGGGATGTATATTGGAGTAATTATACCGGAGGTTTGTGTATGGGGGTAATTACACTGGAGGTTTGTGTATGGGGGTAATTACACTGGAGGTTTGTGTATGGGGGTAATTACACTGGAGGTTTGTGTATGGGGGTAATTACACTGGAGGTTTGTGTATGGGGGTAATTACACTGGAGGTTTGTGTATGGGGGTAATTACATTGGAGGTTTGTGTATGGGGGTAATTACACTGGAGGGGTTGTGTATTCAACTGACTTCACTGGAAGTGTTGTGTATTGAGCAATTACACTTTAAGGTTTGTGTATTAGAACATTTACACTAGAGGAGTTTTGTATATGAGTGATTACACTTGAGGGATTGTGAATTGAGTTACATTTAAGGGGTTGTGCATTTGAGTAACTTCACTGAAGGTTTTGTTTAAGTAATTACACTGGGGGGTGCATAGTGGAGGAATTACATCTGAGGTTTGTGTAGTGAAATTATTACACCTGAGGAGTGGTTTATTTGAGTTATTACACTCGAGGAGTTGTGTATTGGAGTAATTACACTGGAGGAGTTGTGTACTGGAGTAATTACACTGGAGGATTTGTGTACTGGAGTAATCACAGTGGTGGTTTGTGTAGTAATTAAACTAGAGAGTTATGTATTGAAGCAATAGATGGGTTGTTATTTTTAACTTTTACTGTACTTACTGGACAATAAATACCTGATTGTAATATAATTACACCTTCCTACATCTATAGCTGTTTCAATAGTAATAACAATAAATGTTATTCAATTTAATGCCAACCAGCCCTCCTTGATTAGTCAGGGATAATTGTTAAAATACTTCAGATGTGGTAAATTTATGAAAACAACAATTTATCCAGGTCTCCGAGGGGCCATTGCTTTTGCCCTCTCCATCCGGAACACATCCTCAGAAGCTAGACGACTGATGGTGTCCTCAACAATGATGGTTGTCCTGGTGACCGTCGTCATCTGTGGTGGATTTACCACACCTATGTTACAGTGGCTGCAGATCAGGTAAGGCCAAACCAAAAACTGGTTTTGGTGACCGTTCTTGTCTGCAGAGAATTCACCACAGCTATTTTACAATGGCTGCAGGAAATGGGAAACCAAAACCTGTGGTTCTGGCGACCACATGATTTTCAGCGCCATAGCAACCAGTTCCTACAAGGAAACACCTGCTCTGTGACCAAATGACTGATAAACCCAGCAAAACAAATTGATACTATAAAAGTTTATCATTTTTGCTTGGTTCTAATTTCTGCGGTTTTTGCAGTCGTATTTCAACCCTACAATAAAGATCTAATGAAAATTTATTTCATTGTAGCTCCCTCTACATACTAATTCTGGGAGTCATCCAAGAAAGGGATTGACATTACAAATTTACCAATTTAGCTAAAATTGAAAATATAACTTACAAAATGTTTTTTTCACTTCCCCTTTGAGATAGGAATTCACAAGAACCATACGTGAAATATGTAACAGTGTGAGGCAGTTATAGCAAAATTTTCAAATTTACTCACACTGCAAGAATTTAATCCAGTGAAAAAACAACTTGTACTATAAGCAAAACCTTGGACTAGACATTTCAAAATCAGGTTGTTGCTTCCTGAAATATATCTTTGGCTGAAATGATACATTTGGTAAATTTAACAATGACAAAATTTAATTTGTAGGGTTGGTGTTGAAGATGACCAAGAGGCTACAGATGGTTCCAGTATTAGAACAGTAAGTTATTGATAGGAAATTTGATCATTGTTTTAACATTACGAAAAGTCAGTCAATATTTTAACAAAAGATCATTCAGTCTTCATTGAAATAAATCATTATCTATTACAGTAAGCTATCACCTTACCAATACATAACCGTATATTTACATCAACTGTATTTCTTCTCAGCTTCAGGACAGTAGAGATGACTAACTTTGAATCTAAATAAAAGCTGTGTGTACATTGTACAGTTATCAGGGTTTTAACTCAAAGTAATGATCTGTTACAACCAAGAAATAAATTTCTTAAAGTTAATTAAATTTGATATTGGTATATTCTTTACTTGAATGAAGAACGGATCAGTTGATCTTCTTGAATCAAGAATTGTAATATAAATTTTAACTGATTACACTTAACTGAAAATTGATAACTTTATAATTCATGTTACTGAAAACATATTGATTTAAACTTACAAGGGCTGACATATTAACTGGATACTTGAATTGAGAATTGACAGTGGTTCGATTCTCAATAACGGCAATAATATATGAGATTAAAGAGTTAGAACAAAAATAATAATTGTTAACCAAACTTTCAATGTAACCGTTCTTGAAATTTCTAGCAACATTCACTAGTGTTGTGTAACAAAAAGATTTTATAACGTCATGTCATTTTATATATGTATGGTAGATTTGGTGAAATCTTTATAGCAGCAATCTTTGTGACGAAATGTGTTTGATAGGATTTTCTTAGAAAAAACATTTAAACAACATTCAGTGTGTAAGTGTGTGATTGAACTGATAAACATTCATCTATGCTAGGCTTCTTCGCGACAGCGTCAATACAGCTCCATGGAAAGTCCGGTGGCGGAGACGCCCACTTTTTCCAACGATCTGGTGCGTCGAGGTGTTGTGGTTTCTGCATGGGTGGTTTATATACATGTATACAGGGCTGCCAGTACAGAAATAAAATGACAGTGAAAGTAGGGTCAAAAGATTAAAATTGGCGTGGAAACAAAATCTAGCTATAAACAAAGTCATGTGACCATGAAATGACAAACAGATCAAAACTGACATAGATTGTAGTGCTAGAAGATTTCTGGAGTAAAAAAAACGCAGATGTTTTGTTAAATCACAGAATCTGAGCAAAACAAGAATATAATTTTACAGCGTTGAACCAAATATAACAGTAAGGGGAGATAATCTATTATAATGATATATTATATTATGTATTTCCTTTGAAATCTTCATAATAATTGGTATTTTATCAGACTTAATTTATTTTCAACACTGAATTTATAGAGGATTATATATGGGGAATTCCACTGAACTTTTTATTCTGATATTTGAAAAAGAAGTACCAAGGTATGTAATTTATTGAGGTCATGTGAACTGTTCAGTTAGCAACTTGACATTTCACCAAGCAGCCTGAAATTTAATTTGAAGATGGCATATTTTGGACCATGTTGGTTACTCACAGTAATCTAGACTTTGAGTTTCTTCTTCCAAAAAGATTTTAGGTGTATTTAATCCAAGGTGGCAAGAATGAAACTTATGAAGGTTAATTACCATGATGGGGAAGCAAAATTTTGTTTCAGGACTTGTTTAGCAAAAGGTCAAGGTCACTGTTACTTAAAATAGAAAAAGTTTATTTTTTGTCTCAGTAGCTCTATTTGTGTTTCGTTTTGTTGTAAATTTGTTAAAGGCATATATACTTTTTAGAAATTTTCCAATTCAGAAAATGGTGTCAGATTTAGACTAATTCTTTGATAGAGTTAATGACACTAGTTAGTTAGAGCTGGCAGCCCTGAATAGCATATTTTCTGTAGAACTGGGATGTGTCTGTCTTTCTCGCATCAGGATGTTGTATATGCAAGCATGATGTTGGTATATGTGTTGTGCGATGTTCATAGAATTTTTATTTGAAAATTACTGTTTTGTTATCCTCATCAAACATTTTTAGCTCACTATCATTATATGGTTACAACTGGCTGTTCAAATAGCCTTTCTTCTGTGATCTGTCTGTCCTTACACAATTCTTATTCTTGCTCTCTTTTTGCAGATTACAGGGTAGATAATTTTCAAATTCCGCATGTATGTTCCTCTCGGTCCATATTTGTGCACTGCTCATTTAGAGACTAGTTAAAATAACAAATGACTGACAGGTGGCCATCTTAGATTTGTACATAAGGAGATTGTTACCATTATTTCACGAGAAGCACTTGATGGATCTTACTCAGATTTCATATGTAGATTCCCCTTTGTCCTTAGTGGTGCATTGTCCCGTATGTCATGTTTGACCCATTTGTCCTGTTTGGCCTGTTTTTCCCATTTTGTCCAATTTGTCCAATTTGTCCTTTTTGTCCCGTATGTCATGTATGACCCATTTGTCCTGTTTGGCCTGTTTTTCCTATTTGTCCCATTTTGTCCATTTTGTCCCATTTGTCCCGTTTGTCATGTCTGACCCATTTGTCCTGTTTGCCCTCTTTGGCCTGTTTTTCCCATTTGTCCCATTTTGTCCCATTTGTCCCTTTTTGTCCTATTTATCCCATCAGTCCCACAAATTCATCAAGATTGAAAACTCACATATATTGTGTGATATACAAGGCATGGAACTACCTTTACAAAGACATTTAATGTGAGGATGATTTGGTAATGTGAGAAAATGTGAAATTCAACTTAAAGGTGTATGCTACCTGGCATATTGTACCTGTGTTATAAGATAGGGGTTAACTTAAATAGGTTATACACAAGGTTACATACATACATGTAAATGATATCATCTCACTTTAAGGCATGATCAAGTTCTATCCGTTTCAGTTATATACACTGCATTTCATACCTTTGAAAGATGTTTGAGTTATCTCCCTTTCACAAATTATTCCACATTCATTTATGACGTTAATCTATTCAAGGTTTTTTTTTTTTTTTTTTAGATCTTATTCCTTCCTTGAAAATGGTAAAAAATAGAATCCCTCTGAAATTTTCACAGTAATTTGTAAATCATATAAACCTGCTGCCACCATATTTGTGTTATCCGCAGATGTTAAAGAGTTTTGGTGACTCTGATTGTTAGGTCTTGTATGTAAGTGTTTAAGAAGATATATACTATATTTGCATGATGGTTTTACGTTACAGGCTAGTTTACCTACATTTTCATGCCCTGACCTGGGTCTGTGTGGATTGTGTTCATTTGGAAAGGCAACAGATTTGATATGTCCCTCAGCTTTTTTATTGTAATGTAGACATTTTTCATTTTAAAATTTCAATGAAAATTTTTCTTTTAAAAACAGTATGCCAGTAACATAATTTTTAACTTAGATTTATATCGTTAATTCAAATAATGGTTAGACAAATATTGATATCATTTTATTTACATATGCAAAAAAAAATCCATTAATGACGGAAAAAAGGGAAAATATCTACTTTACATATGCAGAAATAATGTGCCATGCCATGCATTGTTGACCTCTGAACACTTGTTAGCTTTGATACCGGAGAATTACACCCTAGCAACACTACCACAATGCTACCAATATTCACGAGCAGTTCACCAATGCTAGCTAGACATCCACTGCTAGGTGACTTCATAATGTCTGAATCAAAGACACTATAAACATGTGACAACCTTCCCCTGTCTTTATGATGTCGGAATCAAAGACACTATAAACATGTCACACCCTCCCAGTGTCTTTTTGATGTCTGAATCAAGCAGACTATAAACATGTTTACTTGTACGTGTGTAACTGTTAACTTGTACATATATAAGTGTTAACTTGTACATCATTATTAACTTGTACAGGTATCACTGTTAACTTGTACAGTATAACTGTTAACTTGTACATGTATCACTGTTAACTTGTACATGTATAACCGTTAACTTGTAGGTGTATAACTGTTAACTTGTACATGTGTAACTGTTAACTTGTACATGTATAACTGTTAACTTGTAAATGTATCACCGTTAACTTGTACATGTATAACTGTTAACTTGTACATGTATAACTGTTAACTTGTACATGTATAACCTTTAACTTGTACATGTATCACCGTTAACTTGTATGTGTATAACCGTTAACTTGTAGGTGTATAACTGTTAACTTGTACATGTATAACCGGTAACTTGTACATGTATCACTGTTAATTTGTACATGTATCACTTTTAACTTGTACGTGTATAACCGTTAACTTGTACATGTATAACCGTTAACTTGTACATGTATCACTGTTAACTTGTACGTGTATAACCGTTAACTTGTACATGTATCACTGTTAACTTGTAGGTGTATAACCGTTAACTTGTATGGTTTGAAAATTATTTAAGGAAGAGATCTTAAACCAGCTCTTGTGATAACCATCATTTCTTAATTTGTTTTCATGTTTATTTGGGTTTTTTTACGTTAAGAACATGTATATTATAAGACATCGCACTGTGTATATTTGCTTGTTTTCAGTTAAGATATCATCTCAGGGTCCTGTTAAGGGTTATATTGGTATCTTGTAACTATTGTGATCAAAATTGTGTTATCAAGCATTTCATAGAATTTTCTTTTGCTTTTTTTCCCTGTTTCCCTGTGTCCCTAGTTATGGTTCATGTTTGTTACATGTGCTGCATTGTTTCTTTTCCTTATAAAATTCTCTTGTTTTATTGGTAATAAGATCTGAAAATTGAAAGACACATCAAAAAGATTATTAAATTTAATGGAAAAAACACAAAGTGATATTTCTCTTATAATTCTATCAGATGTGTATTAATAAACAAAAAAAAACCTCCTATAATTTTTCTTAAACAAAACTTTTCTGATGGCTACACAACAAGACAGAAATTATATCAGTGTTTGTTATGTCAGTTTTGTTTGGCTACATTATGATCAATAGACACTGTTTTTAACAATACTCTCTATTGAATACATCAACAATATTAAAGTATATATATAAACTTTATTTATTTTACAAAAATTGTGAAACAAGTTATTAAAACTTATACTAATCACTCTTGTTGGTCCGGATGTAAGTGCACGAAGGGTCTTATTGTGGGAGGACACCAGACTACCCCGGAAAAACCCACGTGGTCGGGCAGGTGACCCCTTACCTTTTCATATCCATTCCAAGAATCGAACCCCGGACAGTTAGGTGAAAAAACAAGTGTGTTACCATTGCGTCACCTGACCTATTATTATCAATGATATGACATACACACTAAATGATAGCTACATCTTGGCTCGATGAGAAAACAACCTCAAGGCTTATACAGAGCAATTACAAATTATTAATTCATTTCCCAAAGTAAACCTTTAATTGAAACCTTAGAGGAACAATATATTTTAAATCTTATTTGTAAGATATTATATCTCCTCTCTCTGAATTAACTTTTAATCAATAAGCTATGAAGTCATAACCTTTAGCATTAATCACAATTGTTTTATAAGGTAAGTAACAATCAAAATGCCAGCTATCAAAATTATTTACTGTGTTTGACCTTTATACCAAATACTATAAAACTGAAACGTAACAGTTGATATTACAACACATGTTTTCAATACAATATAGCTTTGAGACCTGCTTTGCACAATTTTACCCCAAAAATATCGTCATTTAAAATTATCACATCACTGCAATATTGAAAAGCAATATAGGAAAAAATTAATTTCAAAATAGAAAAAAAAATTGGTGAAGGTTTATTTTTCGTTTTCTACAAGCTGATTATTTCTGTTTTCTTAAAATATTATTTTAAATGTAGAGCTGTGATTTGCTTACAGATGTTGCGCAAAAATTATTGGAAGCTTAATAGTCTTACATTTGATATGCTGTGATTGATTGGACTGTTAATTTGTATGGAAAACGCGTCGGAATCATGATTATGATCAACTGTTTGTACAACTTAATTTCTCCCATCGTAATTGAAAAGATGGAGACAACGCTGTCTCCTACAAAGTGAGGATAAAAAAACAGAAATATTGCCAAAAATTATGAAAAACAGTACAAAAAATGATAGAATTAGTACAAAAGGTATATAAATTGTACAAAATATAATAGTGTACAAAATTATCAAAAAGAGTATGAAATATAATCAGAAGTAATACAACAATTGATAGAATCAGTACAAAACGGACAGAAATAATACAATCAGGAGTAGATAACTCTACCGCTTACAGGAGTGGAGTGGTAGATCTACAGCATTTATAGGAATGGAGTGGTGAAACCTACATTAGTTATGGGAATGGAGTTGTGAAACCTACATCAGTTATGGGAATGGAGTTGTGAAACCTACATCAGTTATGGGAATGGATTTGTGAAACCTACATCAGTTATGGGAATGGAGTGGTGAAACCTACATTAGTTATGGGAATGGAGTGGTGAAACCTACATCAGTTATGGGAATGGAGTGGTAGACCTACATCAGTTATGGGAATGGAGTGGTGAAACCTACATCAGTTATAGGAATGGAGTGGTAAAACCTACATCAGTTATGGGAATGGAGTGGTGAAACCTACATCAGTTATGGGAATGGAGTGGTGAAACCTACATCAGTTATGGGAATGGAGTGGTAGACCTAAAGCAGTTATGGGAATGGAGTGGTGAAACCTACATCAGTTATGAGAATGGAGTGGTGAAACCTACATCAGTTATAGGAATGGAGTAGTGAAACCTTCATCAGTTATGGGAATGGAGTGGTGAAACCTACATCAGTTATGAGAATGGAGTGGTAGACCTAAATCAGTTATGGGAATGGAGTAGTGAAACCTACATCAGTTATGGGAATGGAGTGGTAGACCTACATCGGTTATGGGAATGGAGTGGTGAAACCTACATCAGTTAGGGGAATGGAGTTGTAGATCTACAGCAGTTATGGGAATGGAGTGGTGAAACCTACATCAGTTATGGGAATGGAGTGGTAGACCTACATCAGTTATGGGAATGGAGTGGTGAAACCTACATCAGTTATAGGAATGGAGTAGTGAAACCTACATCAGTTATGGGAATGGAGTGGTGAAACCTACATCAGTTATGAGAATGGAGTGGTAGACCTAAATCAGTTATGGGAATGGAGTAGTGAAACCTACATCAGTTATGGGAATGGAGTGGTAGACCTACATCGGTTATGGGAATGTAGTGGTGAAACCTACATCAGTTAGGGGAATGGAGTTGTAGATCTACAGCAGTTATGGGAATGGAGTGGTGAAACCTACAGTAGTTATGGGAATGGAGTGGTAGACCTACACCAGTTATAGGAGTGGAGTGGTGAAACCTACATCGGTTATGGGAATGGAGTGGTGAAACCTACATCAGTTATGGGAATGGAGTTGTAGATCTACATCAGTTATGGGAATGGAGTTGTAGACCTACAGTAGTTATAGGAATGGAGTGGTGAAACCTACATCAGTTATGGGAATGGAGTGGTGAAACCTTCATCAGTTATGGAAATGGAGTGGTGAAACCTACAGTTGTTATGGGAACGGAGTGGTAGATCTACATCAGTTATGGGAATGGAGTGGTAAAACCTACCACAGTTATCAGCGAAGCTAAACCACAGTATTTTCCAATTGCAATATCATTTGCATTTACATATAATGGTGAATGGCTCAATGTTCTAAATGATGGACTGTGAAGTCATGTACTTTGTTTTAATTTCTCAACAGGCTCAGGAATACTTAGATGAAAGTAGCATGCCAGAACAGCCAGAATCCCCGTTACTGGAGGTAGAGTGTATTTTACTGTCTCGGTGCTCTCCTTCAACACCTTTTTTGTTGTTTCTCAAGAATAAGGCAAGCTGTTCTGAACAAAATTATTTAAACCATAGATAAAAGGTTAGAAACATTTCTTTCTTAGGGTAATGTTTTGAATAATTTTTTAATGTTTTAAAATCCATTCAAAACATCTAAGAATAATTATCATAGTTTTGTTTGGCTGCATTGAACATTTCAATAAGGAAAAAAGAGAAATGTTTAGCTTTAGATAAATTTCAACTTTTATTCCATTAAACATACAGAATTATGTATCTTAAAAATATTCAGTTTTTTTAAGTAATTGAGAAAAAAGTTCTTATCTTTCTCTTTGTTTCATGATTAAGTGTGCTCATTTCTTTATTCCAAAAAAAAATAAAAAATTTTAGAAAAAAAAATCACATATTCTATTTTTGAGAAATTTTAGAAAAAAAAAGCTGTTGTCTTTTGGAGGGATTGTGGACTTTTTCTTCCTCCAGGGGATAGAAATTTATATTACCCATGTACTAGGCTGAAGCGTTTTGTTGAAAATAACCTAATTTGCTGTGCCTTAATTCTTTAACGTTTTGCCAGAGATTGTAACCTTAATTCAAGTAAAGTTCTACCTGTAAATTGAGAATGTTTCTTCACACCTGTAGGTACCATGGATTGTAGCCTTGCATGAGCAAGCATTTTCCATGTACACGCTTGTTGCTGTATCCCTGTTTGTATTATGTATGGCACTGTTGAATAGCAGAGGACTCGTTCAAACCTTTATCTTAATTTTTCCATCTGACCCTAAATTTCCGTAAATCTTTGTAGAGCTGACACTGAGATACAGTCAACAAACTTAAATCATCAACAGCTCTGACAAAGAACTTTCTCTTTAAAAATTTCTACTTGAATCAAACATTCCACTTGGAATCATACCAAATATAAAATAGGTCACAGAAACATGCTTTTGCACATAATTGGGTCAAAGTTTACATTTAGAAACATTCTATTTTTAGGAATCAAATGTAGGTCAATGAGATTTTTAAAAAGATTTTTAGGTTTTGACTTGGGTAAAATGTACATTTCCTCAACAATAAACAAAGGTCACAGTGACCTATATTATCTTTTTGTCTTAATAATAGAATTGGACTTCACAACGAGACACAATTGAACTTAACACAATTTCTGATATACCAAAACTTTAGACTGAATTTCAGGTAAAAAAAATTATTTTCTTATTTTCCTTTAGTTTTTTTTAAATCATGATAATGTTCTTACGAATTTTGAAAAACTATAGAATTAAAATTGCAGCAATTGTGCAAGCCATTTTATAATCTTCAGTGTTGTGTGGGGAAGTTGTCAATTAGTTTTGTTGTAGGGTGGGTTTCACAAAGTGTGAATTTTTTTTTCCGTTGGAAAACGAGAATGATGTGGACAATCAACATGCATATTATCCATATTCCCATCAAGGTATATTAGTTTTAAGGAGTAAAGTAGCCAAATATTATATAGTTATTTTTTCTAATATATACTGGTAATAAAGAATTAGCATTTACTTCAGAGAATGTTTTACTCATCTTAATATTGTTGAACTTTTCCAAATACATGTAATTCAACTCCAGATAAAATGTTAAATTGAGGTTCAAACGAAATAATGCCATTTGACTTAGAATAATAACAAACAAAAACATACATAGCTTGAAATGAAACATCAATTTAACTGCCGATGTCTAAAATCTATGACTAGTACAAATATATGTACTCCTTAATAACTCTAGATATTTTGTTAATATTTTAAAAGTTTGTTTTTCTTTTTTTTTTTTTTGCTTTTTTACATGTTGATTTTCATTTCGATAACTTTCCTTTATTTTTAACCATAACTTTGGGAACATTTACATGTAAATGTGAAGATGAGATTATCTGAAACCATATGTTTTCTGATAGGCTAACTAACATTTTATTGAAACTTGGCTTGTCATATACCATTCCTTTTAAATTTGTTTGTTTTTTTTTTTTAACCTGCTTAAGTAACTTATTTTTTTAGCATGTCACCTATATTGTTTTGAAGTGAAGGTTACAGAAAGTGTGTACCTCAACTATTACTTAATTTCTAACCAATGTTTCAAATAAAAGCGAGGTGTTTGTATGACCGTCCCTTGTCTGACAAAGCTTCTGTAGCACAGCTTGGAGAATGTTTCCACGTAAACATCATGGTAGCTAATTTTTGTTTATCATTGTCTAACAGTGTTTTGTGTTTTAAAGTAAGGTCAACACCACGTCCATTTCTCATTTTGACATTGAACCTTCAAAAAAAAAAGAATAAAGGTCTACAGTTTTCAGTCTTGATCTCGATGACCACCATTTTATCATTATTCTATTATTCCATTATTCATCCTGATTATCATATATAAAGTTTAGAAAAGCATTATGGTAAAGATAGATTTTAAAATATAAATTCATGTATTATTTACGTATAATTTCAGCCACAATTGAAGCTATTGTTTTATGTATCCACTTTGACAGCTGTCTCTGAAGCTACACCGAAAACTCAAGAACTATAAACAAAAATAAGGAAGCTTAGCTGTACACCAGTATGAGACGGTTTTTTTATGAGTACCTGCCACTCATGTGCTTTTGACTGATACAGATCGTCTAGAACTCTCATTTGCAATCATATACAGGAGGATTTGAAGATTGAAATAAAATTAATATTCTCATGGACTTAATTGATCATACCTTTTAATATGAATCACAATAATGTCTTCTGCACTTTTGCAGTTACATTGAAGTCATAGCGGAAGTTTACAATTGTATTTTGCATCCTGGGATTGATAGGTCATCGGGTTATAGGTCAAATTCTAGAATGACCACCATGCCTGTTTATGTTGTGAATGGCGTTGTGTAACTTACAAGAAGAAATAATTTGGGATTATAAGAATTTGGTCAGCATGCAAGGGCCTTCATTAATTTCTAACAAGCCCTATATCTGTGTGTAGACAATCTGTGAAGGCACCCACGCCAAACAAGTTTGATAATTGCTATTTACATTTTTTTTTAAAATACATAAATAAAGAAGAGGATTGTTTATGTATAATTCATTTGCAAAGTTTATTAAATGTTTCACTGATGATCTTGATAAACTGCCCCTTATTATCTGTTTCTGGTTTATCAAATGTCAAAAATAGTTGTCACCATGTCGTAAAAAAAGGGTGAGGCTTATATTCAGGTAGGGCTTATATGTGGATTAAATTTCTAAAATGCTAAAAATTGGCCCTGTGGATTATATAACGTTGTGGTTTATAAACTGGAAAATACGATATTTAATTAATTTTGTTTATATGACCATATTTAATTATCTTTAAGCAACAAAGTTTGTATTTAAATGTGAATAAAGTGTATAGCATGAACTGAAACATTAGAAAAATCTTACCTCTTTAGAGTTATATTCAGATAAATCTAGAGGTTTATTTGAATTTTCATTCTGATGTGTTTGTTAAGACAATAAATAATTTTTTGTTTTAAACATAAATTTATTTACCTGACAATATTTTATAATTACTAACACCATTTCATTTAATAGTATTAACAACAAAACTGTGCTATAATCTTACACTGATTACAAATTCATTACATTATTTTAATTAATTGGTAATTAATTGATTAATTAATTAATCTGTCCTCTACTGAGATGACTTACCTGTGCTTTTTCAAGTTGGGGACCTGATTCAATGCTGCATCTGATGATCTGTAAAAAAAATCAGTGTCTATAGTAACCACTGTGATGCTGTTGTTTAAACATCCTCTGTATTCACCACAGTATTGTAGGTGTTGATTTTTGTTATAAAAGTAAACATTTATCTTTGATAAAACAGTTCTCAAATGTCCTTGATTTCTTGATACTAACATTTTTATTTATTCATTTATTTATTTATTTATTTATTGAACAGCCTGAAATCAACTGTTATGGCCTTTCTGCATTTCAGCAGCCGAAGCAAAATTTGTTTTCTGTTTAATTTTCCTCATCATTTAGTATCTCATGCACGAAGATAATACTTGCTAACTGTCCATGATCTCTGGTAATGATCTTTTCATTCAGTCGGGATCAATAATTAAGTTTAATATTGTCCTTGTAAGTCAAAATTATGTAGTGTATTTGGTTTAAATGTTTCTATCATTTTTTTTTAAACAAATAACATATGTCTTCCTACATTGTGTTTGTGGAAAACAGAGTTGTCTTTAAAATAATTTTTTTTCTATGTCATTTCATTTTGAAACTTTCGGTTTTAAATAAATTCTTATTTCCTGTGATATCTCATGTCAAAACCACTTTATTTTTAAATAAATTTTGTCTTTTGTGTCATCTTATGTCCAAACCACTTTAGTTTTAAATAAATTTTTATTTCCTGCAATATCTCATATCGAAACCACTTTATTTTTAAATAGATGATGTCTTCTGGTATATTTTATGTCAAAACCACTTTACTTTTCAAAAAATTTTGTCTTCTGTGTCATCTCATGTCGAAACCACTTTACTTTGAAATACTTTTCGTCGCCTGCGATATCTGATATTGAAACCACTTTACTTTTTGATCACTTTTAACTTGCCTTTGGACTGATGACTAACATTACTAAGCTGAATGCGCCATAGTTACTAATACATGACATAACAACTGATTTGAATTTATTACTGGAAGTTCGTCCTGTATATTCTGTATATCAATCATACATTTTCTATAGACTTGACATCTTTGTATGTGTATATCATTTAATCTAATCTGTGATGATTTCAACTTCCTTCTTATTAATGTGAACTTGATATTAGTGTTAATAATGAACTTTAAATATTGTGTAAAAGTATTTTGTAACCAGCTGCTGTTATCCCTGCCCTCTTCTCATTTGTAGGATAATTCTCTCAGACTGTTTAGAGAAAATGTTAACTTTCTGTTCCAAATACGTAGACAGTTGAACCAATTAATCTTTATGACTTGTGATGCTTCAAACATTTTGTGCCTCACAAAGGATGAAAAATGGATCTATAAGACAGGTTTAGAGATCTACAATGGGCTTTGTCTCTGACTTTAAGACAGGTTTATAGATCTACAGTGGGCTTTGTCCCTGACTTTAAGACAGGTTTAGAGATCTACAGTGGGCTTTGTCCCTGACATTAAGACAGGTTTAGAGATCTACAATGGGCTTTGTCCCTGACTTTAAGACAAGTTTAGAGATCTACAGTGGGCTTTGTGTCTGACTTTAAGACAGGTTTAGAGATCTACAAAGGGCTTTGTCCCTGACATTAAGACAGGTTTAGAGATGTACAGTGGGCTTTGTCCCTGACTTTAAGACAGGTTGAGAGATCTACAGTGGGCTTTGTCCCTGACTTTAAGACAGGTTTAGAGATCTACAGTGGGCTTTGTCCCTGACTTTAAGACAGGTTTAGAGATCTACAGTGGGCTTTGTCCCTGACATTAAGACAGGTTTAGAGATCTACAATGGGCTTTGTCCCTGACTTTAAGACAAGTTTAGAGATCTACAGTGGGCTTTGTGTCTGACTTTCAGACAGGTTTAGAGATCTACAAAGGGCTTTGTCCCTGACATTAAGACAGGTTTAGAGATGTACAGTGGGCTTTGTCCCTGACTTTAAGACAGGTTGAGAGATCTACAGTGGGCTTTGTCCCTGACTTTAAGACAGGTTTAGAGATGTACAGTGGGCTTTGTCCCTGACATTAAGACAGGTTTAGGGATCTACAATGGGCTTTGTCCCTGACTTTAAGACAAGTTTAGAGATCTACAGTGGGCTTTGTGTCTGACTTTAAGACAGGTTTAGAGATCTACAAAGGGCTTTGTCCCTGACATTAAGACAGGTTTAGAGATGTACAAAGGGCTTTGTGTCTGACTTTAAGACAGGTTTAGAGATCTACAGTTGGCTTTGTTTCTGACTTTAAGACAGGTTTAGAGATCTACAATGGACTTTGTCCCTGACATTAAGACAGGTTTAGAGATGTACAGTGGGCTTTGCCCCTCATGTAAATAGAAGGAATATTGTTCATGACAATTTTGTCCACCTGATGTATATTTCCTTACTCTGACAAGATCTGAGAACAGTTTGGATATGTATATAATTGTGATGCACTAACAAAAAGGTAGATAATTAATATCAACAGATTTATTTATATATATCAGGATATATTTAGATTGGGATCAGCGGATCAGTTCTGGTTTCTTCATATTTGCTAGGTGACGGACTCAGAATATTTTAATTACAAATCCTGCTGTTACAGTACCTAGTATTTGTAACATGATAGATGTGGATGGGCTTATTACTGAACATAGGCTTATTGCTAAATATGAATTTAGTAATACCTTTTTTTGTTGATTAGGGAGGATCCACCGTGGAGATCAGTCAGTTGAGGAAGCCACGTGATGCTAAAGCTTGGTTGGTGGCTCAGTGGCATAGCTTTGATGTCAGGTAAGTTTCTTGTCATGGATTGTCTGCCCTTGATTGGTACAAATTTGGATGAATGGTTGGGCAGGTCTACAGTGGTTAGCAAAATTGAATTATTTTACAAAATAGAAAATAATTGTTTTCATGTGTGTTGATTTTTTTTTTTTATTTTTTATTTCATTTTTTGGCAAAATATAAGACTAATGTATATATTGTAGCTGGTATCTACAAGGGTTGTGTTCTATCTAATTGAGTGGTATATTGTGGCTAGCATTTACCAGGGTTGTATTGTATCTAGCTGAGTGGTATATTTTGGCTAGCATTTACCAGGGTTTATTAATCAGGGTTGTGTATTCCCTAGCTGAGTGTTATATTGTGGCTAGCATTTACCAGGGTTACATTCTCTCTATCTGAGTGGTATATTGTGGCTAGTATTTACCAGGGTTACATTCTCTCTGAGTGGTATATTGTGGCTGGTATTTACCAGGGTTACATTCTCTCTGAGTGGTATATTGTGGCTGGTATTTACCAGGGTTACATTATCTCTGAGTGGTATATTGTAGCTGGTATTTACCAGGGTTACATTCTCTCTGAGTGGTATATTGTGGCTGGTATTTACCAGGGTTACATTCTCTCTAGCTGAGTGGTATATTGTGGCTAGTATTTACCAGGGTTACTTTCTCTCTGAGTGGTATATTGTGGCTAGTATTTACCAGGGTTACTTTCTCTCTGAGTGGTATATTGTGGCTAGTATTTACCAGGGTTACTTTCTCTCTGAGTGGTATATTGTGGCTAGTATTTACCAGGGTTACATTCTCTCTGAGTGGTATATTGTGGCTAGTATTTACCAGGGTTACATTCTCTCTGAGTGGTATATTGTAGCTAGTATTTACCAGGGTTACATTCTCTCTGAGTGGTATATTGTAGCTAGTATTTACCAGGGTTACATTCTCTATGAGTGGTATATTGTGGCTAGTATTTACCAGGGTTACATCATCTCTATCTGAGTGGTATATTGTAGCTAGTATTTACCAGGGTTACATTCTCTCTGAGTGGTATATTGTAGCTAGTATTTACCAGGGTTACATTCTCTCTGAGTGGTATATTGTGGCTAGTATTTACCAGGGTTACATTCTCTCTGAGTGGTATATTGTGGCTGGTATTTACCAGGGTTACATTCTCTCTGAGTGGTATATTGTAGCTAGTATTTACCAGGGTTACATTCTCTCTGAGTGGTATATTGTAGTTACATTCTCTCTGAGTGGTATATTGTAGCTAGTATTTACCAGGGTTACATTCTCTCTGAGTGGTATATTGTAGCTAGTATTTACCAGGGTTACATTCTCTCTGAGTGGTATATTGTGGCTAGTATTTACCAGGGTTACATTCTCTCTGAGTGGTATATTGTGGCTAGTATTTACCAGGGTTACATTCTCTCTGAGTGGTATATTGTAGCTAGTATTTACCAGGGTTACATTCTCTCTGAGTGGTATATTGTAGCTAGTATTTACCAGGGTTACATTCTCTCTGAGTGGTATATTGTAGCTAGTATTTACCAGGGTTACATTCTCTCTGAGTGGTATATTGTAGCTAGTATTTACCAGGGTTACATTCTCTCTCTGAGTGGTATATTGTGGCTAGTATTTACCAGGGTTACATTCTCTCTGAGTGGTATATTGTGGCTAGTATTTACCAGGGTTACATTCTCTCTAGCTGAGTGGTATATTGTGGCTAGTATTTACCAGGGTTACATTCTCTCTAGCTGAGTGGTATATTGTGGCTAGTATTTACCAGGGTTACATTCTCTCTAGCTGAGTGGTATATTGTGGCTAGTATTTACCAGGGTTACTTTCTCTCTGAGTGGTATATTGTAGCTAGTATTTACCAGGGTTACATTCTCTCTGAGTGGTATATTGTGGCTGGTATTTACCAGGGTTACATTCTCTCTGAGTGGTATATTGTGGCTAGTATTTACCAGGGTTACATTCTCTCTAGCTGAGTGATATATTGTGGCTAGTATTTACCAGGGTTACATTCTCTCTGAGTGGTATATTGTGGCTAGTATTTACCAGGGTTACTTTCTCTCTGAGTGGTATATTGTAGCTAGTATTTACCAGGGTTACATTCTCTCTGAGTGGTATATTGTGGCTGGTATTTACCAGGGTTACATTCTCTCTGAGTGGTATATTGTAGCTAGTATTTACCAGGGTTACATTCTCTCTGAGTGGTATATTGTGGCTAGTATTTACCAGGGTTACATTCTCTCTGAGTGGTATATTGTGGCAAGTATTTACCAGGGTTACATTCTCTCTGAGTGGTATATTGTAGCTAGTATTTACCAGGGTTACATTCTGTCTGAGTGGTATATTGTAGCTTACACCCTGTGTGGTTATTAGACAGAGCAGTAGCCAGTGTTAGTCATATAAAAGGTTTATGATTCCGATATTATACTACAAGTCACAAAGTATATTCTAACAATATACCACAATTGTAAGACCACAAATTACACATGTTAATACAAATTGTACTGGTCTGTGCTAATCTGGTTTCATCCTTAAGCCTGACAGTTTAACTTCACTGCTCTGAATGGCATGCTTTTGTATATATATATGACCCTGGCTGTTTACAGAGCTATAATCCCAACAAATGAACAAATGGTTGCTATAGGAATTGATAACTATGATATGATTTACAGATTTATGAAGCCGTTTCTGACTCACTGTCGCCCAACACTGATGGAGACGTCACCAGCCTGTTGTATGCCGTTGGCACGTCTACTGACCACTGACGAACAGCTACAGGGGGTACAGCTGATTTTCTAAGTGTCTAGTCTTACTGATTCTCTGTATCTTACTTAGTCGGTGCTATCCATTCAACACCCTGTAACGTTATTGTGTTACATCAGTCATTAAGTTTATTTAGATATTTTCCTGAAAATTTTATCAAATAGTGTCTAATTTTTTATCAAAACTAAAGTTTGATCTAACATTGACTTAAAATTTTGATGAGAACTAATTAAACATTGTCCAAATCCTGACTTATACTGCTAGATTAGAATTTTGTCGAGAATCAATTAAAGCTTTTCCAAATTTTACTCCTAAAATGTAAAAAGGACAGTAAACACATTGATGAAAGTCTGTGCAGTTTCTGATATAGTATTCTCCATTATTCACATTACTCATAAGTTTTCTGTTTTCGGATTCAGAGTGACCCCACGAAGGACACCGACTCCGACATAGATATGATTATAGACCACCGAGAACTCTCCATTGGCGAAGATACAATTAGTACGGTTTCACAAAGTCAACCATATACGAGCACAGAACCCACGTCACAGGTATGTGTCATAAGGTAACACAGGCTCGCTATGGGATTTAGTCTTGTCACAGTCTAATCAAGTCACAATCACAGTCACATTACACTCACACACAGAAAATTTGTCACCAATTCTAGTCACAGTCACGCTCCCCCATCTAGTCACTAAATATGTGACATTAACATTATACTGTGTATTACAGAGTCACTGTGTAAACCTTGTCAATAACAGTGACAAAATATTACAATCGCAGCACATAACTAATTTACAGTTTGTACAGCAGAAGGGTGTGACACTGCTTACCAGTCTTCGGTGGACAGCATCATCCTGTCACTAGTCACAAAACCTTGTCCCCTTGTCACATTGTACCAAGTCACAACTCTACATACACTAGTCACTATGAACCAGTCACAAAACTTTTGTCCCCTAGTCACATTGTACCAGTCACTATGGACCAATCACAAAACCTTTGTCCCCTAGTCACAATACCAGTCACCACACTTTATGCTCCTGTCAGTGTGGACCAATCACGAAACCTTTGTCCCCTAGTCACAATACCAGTCATCACACTTCTCTATCATTGTTTACCTGTTGGCCCACACTGACACAGGTATCCATACTAACTGATGATTGTTTATATGCCTGACTGCCATTTTCTGTATTAACCATATATTTTGTTTGATTCTGCTTGATATTTGAAGATTTTATTTTTCTTTTATTTGAGGTGGATGTATGGGTTCATTCCCAACCCCAAGTCTCCCTAGATGACCCTCCCTTGACCCCCTGACCTCATGACCTCCGACATTAGAATCCTTTTCACCTGTGATAGACACCTTTCAAGTGTAAGTTTGTGTAGTGTAGGTACCTCACATAGGCAGTCCTAGTTGTGTATGTCCTACAGCCAGTCCTAGTATGTATGTCCTACAGCCAGTCCTAGTGTGTATGTCCTACAGCCAGTCCTAGTGTGTATGTCCAACAGTCTGAGTCCTCGTGAACTATATACCCTAAACTTCCACAATCAGTCCTAGTGTGTACATCCCACAATCAGTCCTAGTATGTACATCCTACAGCCAGTCCGACTGTTTATATCCTTCAGACAGACCTATTGTGTATGTCTTACAGTCAGACCTATTGTGTATGTCCTACAGTCAGTCCTATTGTGTATGTCCTACAGTCAGTCCTATTGTGTATGCCCTACAGACAGTCCTACTGTGCATGTCCTACAGTCAGTCCTAGTATGTACATCCTACAGACAGTCCTACTGTACATGTCCTACAGTCAGTCCTATTGTGTATGTCCTACAGTCAGTCCTATTGTGTATGCCCTACAGTCAGTCCTACTGTGTATGCCTTACAGACAGTCCTAGTATGTACATCCTACAGACAGTCCTACTGTACATGCCCTGCAGACAGTCCTATTGTGCATCTCCTACAGTCAGTCATATTGTGTATGCCTTACAGACAGTCCTATTGTGTATGTCCAATAGTCAGTCCTATTGTGTATGCCCTACAGTCAGTCCTAGTATGTATACCCAACAGCTAGTCCTAATATGTAAGTTCTACAGACAGTCCTATTGTATTTGTTCTAAGCTAATTGAATTTTATGGACAGATGTTGAGATTTCTGGGTTGAAAGGTCACCTATTGACTTGGATTGTCTGTGTATACCTTAGCCCTGCTTGCAAGAATATATTGACTTGTGTCAGCTTTCTGTGATTGACATCTGCTGCTTAAGAAGGCTTCTATAACTAACCACAGTTAATGGAATGACTTTGATTTTAACATTACATATCAGATGTCATAAGATTTTCATCTTTATCCTCAACATCAAACAACAGTCATAATTGAAACTGTAATTTTGTGTTACCATCCAATAACATGGCACAAAACATTACTTCATTTTAGTTGGCTGGCTACTGTATCATGTGTGAAGTTTTCTCTGGGACTTTAATTCTCTGGCATAGCACTGTTCATCAAGTCATTCTAAAAGACATAAAGCCTTATATTTCAGCTTTAATTTTGATGCAAAAATTTTATTTTCATATTCATTTGATATAGAGACAAAATGGGCTAAAGTTTCCCTGTATACAGTCAGCGGTCGATATGTTAATATGAAAATCTTTCTAAATCATCAAATCCTTTAAGCAAATGGAAACTCTTAATTCATTAATCTGCCCATTAAAAATGAGACTCGGAAATTGTTTTATTAAATAATTTTTGTTTCAAATCACAGATAATTTTACATTATTAGTTAATTTTACCATTTGATGTTACAGGAAGTTTTAACTTATCTCTTATTGAGATATTATCACCATTGTCACTATTAGTATCATGTTCTCAATGACAGTGTCCCTTGTTCTGGTATCAAACAAAATTTGTGACTATGTGACAGTTCTATGATTGTGATTTTTGTGTTCTCATGGTTGATTTCCAATTTCATTTCTTTTTTGATATAATTTTATCAAAATGAAATCTTATATAACTGTGTGCTTGTTAATTACATCTCTGTGCTTAAGATTGGTAAACCTAATAAAATTGATTAATACATTTTGCCTATTAATATTAGAGAGATGATATAAAATACATTCAGAACTTATCAGGTAATAGTATAATTTTCGGTTGAATCTAATTTTAACTGCAGTGTATGTCTTGTGAAACAGTCTGCAGAGGCTAAAAATACTGACAGATAGAAACTTTTTTTGAAATGAACAAAATCATAATTATGAGAAAGGTAATAAACGATGTATTAAGAGAAATTACTTTTCAGAATTTAAAAGAAGTCTTTTTTATTCAGTTGAGTGCCTTTATTCTAAGACCCTCATCCTTGTTTAACTTATACATTAATTTTTATTTTGGATGCAATCAATATTTACAGACTGGAATTTGGTTTTAATTTCTATTTAAGTACTTACCAAATATATAAAGCAGTTCACTTTGGAATTTGAGTTTCCTAAACCTACACAAAGTCTAAGACTGGGCATGCAAACAGCTGTGTTACTATGTCAGAATATACCGCTAGATGTATGTACCCACACAGATCTAGTACTGAATGAAAAATTTATCAGGAACATAGCTGGAAATGACTTTCCATATCAATTTTACCAGTGCCAGGTAATAAGCCCACCCATGATTTTATAGAAGTGTAGCAAAGCAATGATATTCCATGCAATTAGTCAAGAATCATCTACTGGCTCCTTATTGTAGGATTAAATTGTCAAGTGAAATGCCAGTGTATATAACGTTAATAGATTTTGTAGATAGGAATTTAGGAAAGCAGACTAGAAAGAGACATGTAATTTTGTTAATAATGTTAAGAATTACTCACAGTGACATTTACATATAGCCATACTTATAACTGACTTAAGTTTTACACTGTTGTATCTGTAGAGTCTGGAATTACACGTTGCTATTGAAACTGAGGGCTGAGATAGTACGTACGCCCTCACACAAGACAGGAGGTAAAAAAAAGGTGGCTGGGACTTCACATTCAACCCGATTAGCCAGTGACTTCTGTTTTGTTTGTTGGTGATTGGTTGATTTGTTTGGTTATTAAAACTGACCAGTAACATGTATTGGTTGCTTTTAGTTTGTTTCTGTTAGTGCTTGTTCGTTTGCTCACCTGACCTTAAGGGCGACGTGAGTTTATGGCATAACATGGTGTCCATCGTCTGTCATTAACTTTTTCACAAAACGCTACTAATCATGAACCACTGAACAAATTTTGACCAAAATTTGAGAAAGAGATTGAATTTTTTTTTTTTTTTTTTTTTATGAACAGTGGGTCTGACACCCCACACCCCCATTTGGACCAGAGGGACAGGACCTAATAGGTGATATAGAGCAAATGTTTTTAAAATCCTTCATCCTCTGTAGAAATCTATTGATTTGGTCCCAATTTGGTCTGAAGCATCCGAGAATGAAAGCAAATAAATTTTGTATAAATGGTGGATCTCAGCCCCCAGGGGCAGGTAGGGCAGAGCCCAATAGGAGAAATATAGTAAATTGTTCTTCTTCTTTCATAGGAGTCTCAATTTCATCAGAAATATGTTTAGGTGAAGGAGAATATTGAATAAATGGTTTGGCTGACTCTGAAGGGGCAGAAGGGTGGTGCCTAATGGGGAAATAGAAATAATAAATAAATAGAATTACTTTTCCTTTAGTATAGAGGAAGCAATTTCAGTCAAAAAAGCCAGGTGAGAAGTACAGGTCCTGTGGGCCTCTTGTTTTGTTTGTGATTTAGTTAATCAAATATTTCCTTTTCTTCCTTTTTCCATTCTTCATGTTTGTTGGTTTCTGTGTTTACCTGCCTGTAATAAGCCCGCTTACGTTACGGAAAACCAGTGAAATATTGATAAGTAAAATTATGAACCAATGCTATTTCTTTGATCCATGTAATAAGCCCACTGCTGGTAGCCCTTACAAATAGTTTGACCTCCTGGGCTTATTGAGTGACAAAACACAGTACACAGAGGCATTGATATTAATAACCTATACTGTCAATTACTAACATGGATTTTCATGCTTACTGTGGATAGAGTTAGGGTTATGTCTAATAAACAGATCACCATGATAAAAACTAGAAGAAGAGAACATTTGCCTGATTTTAGCAGTTTTAGAAATAATTATGCACTAACTGGCAATAAGCCCTAACAGGCTACACCTAAATTTGAATCAAAGTTTGGGGTGGACTTATTACAGGACAATGTCTTTTTGTTAGTGATTCTAATTAATAGCAGTTTATTTATAGGTGGGCTTATTATCAGACGTGGGCTTATTACCAGACATGGGCTCATTACAAGGTGATTCATAGAAATCTTTGTCCAGACTTATCCCAGACTTGCAAATCTGATATCTAACCGCTGATGTGGTGCATCATGGGTATTATTTTAGCTATGGTGTTTCGTCTGTTGGTGTGCATCATGCATAAACATATTAGGTCATCCATCCATAGGGTCTGGATGGCCTATAGTATTTTAAACTTCTTCTCCTGTTCTGTGCGACTGAGCTTAAACTTGCCTGAAATGATCCTGAGATGGCCTTGACGAAACATTGTTATTATTTGTCAGTCCTAAATATATTATGGTCATGGCCACCTTCATGAAAACGACATTTTAAACTTCTTCATAAGCCCTTCTGTTGCCATTGAGCTGAAAATTGGTAGGAATGTCTGGGAAGAGAAGTCAATAAAATGTTTCTTTTTTTCTACCTCGTCAAATACACTTTTGCAGCCATGGAAGCAATTTTGTAACAAATTTTAATAATCATGGTTTCCTTGAACAATACCACATATTTTAAACTTCCTCTCCAGTTCCACCAGTGGAATAGAGCTGAAACTTGCCTGAAATGATCCTGAGATGGATCTAACCAAATGTTACTTTTGGGTCAATCCGAAATCCAAAATGGCAGCTATTGTGAAAAATACTTCTGAAATTCCATCCCTTGTCCATTGGTCTGAAATTTTATGGTAATGTTGAAATGAAGAGTATTTTTACCCATTCTGCTTAAGTATTCCAAACAATTTTACTCAGTTAATATTTGTTCCCGCTACTACTAATGCTGTTACCAGTATCATATATTTGTCTTTAAGCCAATGACATCATGTTTCAAAGTTTGTTCCCATGGTTACAAAAACTGCTGTTTATTATATTTTTTATATTTTCTAGCTTTTAAAATCTTTTGATATTTGAGTTATAGTTTTTTTTTTTTTTTTTTTTTTTTCCATTTTATAAATTTGTTTTCCGAACACAAATTAATGTTTATTTTAAATTCCAGCCTGTGACTAAGAGTACTAAGTATTGAGACATTAGCCTTCAAAGTTTATGGATTTTTGTAAATCCAGTTTCTTGCGTTTATTTTTCATTCTGAAAAACAGATCTTAAAGTTATCAGTGTTGCATATTTAATAAATGTAGCCTAATTCTGTGTAGGTGCTGTAAGCTTTCTGCAGGAAAGATATCAAAACTACATTTATGGTTGTCATTGTCTATGGGTTTTACTTTCAGTTTTTTTTTAAAAGGATTTAGCAACATTAAAGATAAATAGATACATAAATGAAAAATCCAGAAAATTTCAAATTCATAGAGAACACCATTTAATCACTTTTGTGATTTGTGTGAAAGATGTATCTAGTTTGCTTCAAGCTTTTCATTAAACCATGAAAATTTAACCGTCACAAAATGTAGTATTGTCAAGGAAACTGTCATTTAACACGATAGTCTAGAATTCTTTTAGTCAACTGCATTTTAATTCAGTCTTTTCTTGAATAAATATATGTTTTCCTGTTTTTCATATATTTACTACAATCTTTCATAATGGGTATCTCTGACTGGGGTATCTGAAATGTATCAAAAACTTGTAAACGTTGAACTTTTTCTTTAAGTAAAATTCTTGTTTACAAAAATATGTATAGATACCAGTAAATATACATACATATTTGAAAATTAGATAAGAGATAATTCTTTTTAATCAATAAAGTATTCCTTTGTTGAAAAGTTTGGCCATGGAATGAAGATTATCTTTATGTTAGGTAATTGTATATGAAGTTATTTCTGTACTTCAGGGTTACAAGGAAGACTGTACATCCGGTGACCTAGGTATGGGACAAAGGGAGGATCATCTAAACATGAGAGTCAACCTGCCAGGACCACAGGGGCACAGAGTCTGAACTTTGACCTTCAAGATCAAGAGCATGCCATTCAGCCTAGCCTTTATTTTTTGCATCAATCTGTGAAAAGAGAGATGTAAAATTTTGAATCAGGGTTCATAATATATATGACCCTTTAACCTCTGATTGTGACCTTTTGACTTATGATTGTGACCATGAAATTGAGGTTACAAAGTGTGACCCTTTGACCTTTCAAGGTGACCATGAAAGTTATTTAAAAGACACTGTGAAGCTAAATATATATGTATATAGAATGGTTGAAGTGATAGATTTGTCATAGATGTGTTGAATTTGACCAAGAAGTGGGTTTAACTAAAAAGCATGACCTAAAAATGCAAAGGTCATAGGTGAAAAGTCAAAGTGTATTTTCATTCAAGTTATGTGGACACTTATGTGCAACACTTGAATCTGCAGGTTATGTGTGTCATGTGATCTATCAATCCCAGAGAACCATTCTATCGAAAGAACACAGGATGAACAACACCCAAGGCACATGTCAATGACCTTTGAACTCATCTGTTACCAAGGCAGGATTTGAATGAAAGACTCGGGGAGTAAATCCCTGTGGCTAAATCAAATGTGATGATGAGAAAGTGAGCTTGTTTGTTTACTAATTGTGTAACTGATGATTGAAGAGCTTCTGCCTGTTGTAATGAAGACTAAACAGGTGTTGAAAGTGTGATTGAATGTATATAATCTCATGTAGAACAAATTTATCTCTTTGTTTCATTAGAAATCTTTAGATATTTAAGTTGTTTTATTTGTCATAACACAATATCGTCATTTCTTAACAGGTACCTTTCACTATTTATAAAGACCAAATCTAACTATGTTATTGATTTTTTTTTTTTTTTTTTGCACTTCAACGATGATGAGAAATGAAAACTTTCAGCTTTTCAGCTGATTTGTATATATATTCTATCATTATAGTATATTGTAAACTTTAAATTTCCTTATAGCATGAACTCAAATATCCAGGTCAAAGCATTCTTTTATTAAGCAATTTCCACCCCAAAGTTTTTATTTACAATACGTATATTACATACAGCTAATCTGTTTGAGTTTGTCTCAATTTGCCTTATCTATAGTTTCTGAATTTCATGTAATATATAATTCAAAACTTAAGTGCCAAGAATAAAAAAAAGCTACAAAATGTCTTTAAACTAATGAATATTCATGAATATTCAATAAGAATTTAGGCCTAGTGAGCGAGCACCTCGGTTTGAAAAATCATTCTTCATATAATTTCTCTAAATGTTGTATTACGAAAGATCAATACTAAAATCACTGCTAGTATTTTTCCAATGAATTGATTTTTATTTAAATATCTTGATAAAAAATATCAATTAAAAATATGCCAGATGAGATGGATAACAGCCTGGCTGGTCACAGTTTCACAGCTGCTTAATTTGAAATTATTAACGTAATTAGAGGTGTAGAGCGAACATCATTTTTCTTGTGAAGGTATTGTAGGTTCGGTAATCCCTCGCTTGGATACCTCCAGGTATAGAAGGTATACAGGGTGATTGAAGAATAGTAGAAACTTAAAGGAAGAAGCTCAAATGTTCGGGTGAAATCAGTAAACATAAGTAATATAGATATTAAACTGAAGATCCTAAGTTTGTCATGATTGACCACATCCTTTACGTATTTATGTATTTTTTTTCTTTTGTACGTCTTTGAATTGGAAAATAAGTGATGTTACAATATTTTTTGTATCTTTGCTGTCATCCTCTAGCATGAAAATATTGGAAGTATTGGCTGAAAAATCTATCAAAATGTAGGTGAAAATCACTGGATATCTAATGTTATTGAAATTTTTGGATTTTCTTGATATTTTGTACCATGGATAATGTAAAAGATAGAATGACTATACAAATGAATAGGGATACAGGTATGTGTTGTGTTATACTACATCCAGAAGCAAATTGATATTTATCTGACATTGTTGATATTTCTACAGCTTCTTGAGCCAGACCACTCCCCCTCCACCCATCAAATATATATACTATCTATTCATTTGCAATTCCAAATCACACAAACTGTTCAAAACTTTGATTTTGATTAGTTATAGGAACCATGTTATATAAAAAGGAGGTCACATGTGTGTTTGTATATATATCTGTATCTACTAGCTGTTTGTATGATACGTCTTTTCAAGGGAGGTAATTCCTACTTAAATCCTCCTCAGCCAAACTTAATAATGACCCTGTTCTCAACACTCAAGGTTTTAAATCATAATTTTTGTTTTCATTTTTTTTTGAAAGTACAATTTGCTTACTTTGTGTGCAACTAGTGAAAACAAGTGTATCAGTTAAATATGAAATGATTTACGATTAATTTGTTTTGTGAGTATTTCTTTGTAAGAATACGTGTGAATTGTTTATCGTTTGTTAACAGTATATTTACATGTGCAGTCTCTTTTGTTAAAAGCTGCCTGATATATATACATTTATTTTCAAGTGCTACATATGTTGGAGGGATCAAATCACTTTTATCTACATTGTAGTTAAAGTACACTCAATCTGTGTATTTGTTTTTCAGTGTGAGAAGTGACTGGGGTGAATATATATGGTCTATAGCATTATGAAAGTGATATGATGTATTGGACACAAAAGGGTTTTCTTTTCCTTTATAGATAGAGTTGGCCATTTGTAATTCATTTGGTCCATATTAGACAAATCAATTCTTCTAATTTTTCCTTTTTTATTTTATTTCAGTTATAAAACAACACACTGCCAGCAATTTTTGTGAACTTGTTGAATTAGAAAATGTAATACTTCTACAAATTTGATATACATCTGAATTAAGGTATAATTGTAGAATATTTTTATCTCAAGATTAAATAAATATACACAATTTAGATGGGATTTAATATACAGAGAAATGATAAAACTGGAAATACTTCTGGTTAGAAAAGCATTAGTGCTTTCATAACAAATTTTTAGACGCTTAACAATTTGTTTTGCTACCTCACTAGGATTTCATGGTTGCCTTCATGGTATAACAACATGATGTCATCAATAATGGCTTTCTAATATGGGATGCTTCGCGAGTTTCCATTTTGTATGTTTTTTATGAAACGAGTGAAGAATTTTTGCTTTGAGAGAGTCGTTGTCAAAGCTAAACAGACATATTTTTTATGATTTCGTAATTCATAAGTGAACCGGAAACTAATTTTTTATCATTTTCTGGGATTATCATTATCAAATCCTGACAAGCACAAAATGGACATATATTAGGTAAATAGCAATCATATGATACATTAATAGTTGAAGGTAATATTGACACAACAGTACTGTTTCTGTAATTTTGATCCTTAGTCGATACAATCTGATTAAAACCCGCTCTACATTCACCATGATATGGTTTTAATCGAACCTACCTATTTCTAAACAAGCCATATTGTTTATTTATTTATTGGGTTGTTTATTTACTATATCTGTGGTAATCAGATCACTCATGCATAATATCTATTGTTATGTGATGGTTGTAATATTAAAGCCATATATTGAAATATTCCGTTTTTTTTTTTTTTTTTTTTGCCGGCTCAATTTTTCAGTATTTGCATGAATGAGAATGTGCCAAATAAAGAAAGTTGATTGTAGTGAGAAGATCAAACTGTTAAAAACATTTTAATTGATGTTAGAAATTTTGGATGTTTTTTTAAAACAACTTGATCTAGATTTGATATGAATAATTTATTCCAACTGATAAAGAAGGGATTTTTTTTTACTTGAGTACTGTACGTGTACTTCTATAAGTAGAACATAAATTCTGTACTAAATAAAATATTTAGTAGAAAATATCAAATTATCTAGACTTTAATGAAATCAAGTTTTTATTTATTTATTTTTTGGGGGGGATAATTTTAGGTCACAAGATCTACATAATTATGTTATACTATGTGTAAATGGATGTTTTTTGATGGATCATGTCATTGAAGTTAATCAAAACTATTTAAAATTATCCCAAGTTTTAGTCAGGAATACCTGATTAAAATAATCAACTATGGATCACTTTAAATTCTGTAAGCAATCTTGTGTTTCATGTTGAACTTGTGATATATTTTTCACATTCCTTGGAGATTGTGTAAGGGTTGTGCTTCAGGTCTCCCCTCCATCAAAAAGCAGTACCTTAAGATGAACTACTACTTAAAAACAAGATTTTTATGACACAGCATGCCGATCATCTCTCCCGCTGGAGACTCACCCATTCTCATTCCAACTTGTTGCGATTTTGTATCTGTACAGATCTTTAAGTCTCAAGTAAGTTATTTTCAGCTTTGTAGAATAAATCACAAATTTTTTGAGGTCAGTAATCGTGGGGTACAAGAACTTGTGTATGAAATATGATTTAACAATATTTTTCTTCCTGGAAATATATGTACAAGAGAAATTTTGCTTATGTATTATTATGTATCAACAATAAATAAACTGTTATTTCATATTTTTTTAAGTTCCATCACAAGTATATGTCAACACACTTATACCAGTTCAATGTAATATGTTATCAAATAAGCCCAGTATGTAATGGATGGGCTTATTGCAGGACAATGAAAAAACCAACATTAGCACTTTTGTTGCATGGATATTTGGCTTATTAGTAACATGGAGCATTGTGAGATAAATAAATGTAGTATGTATATGCAGGTATTTCTTAATAAAACCTTCTCATATTCCTTTTTTTATTTTTTTTTCTCTCGTTTTAATTGATCAGATGAAAAACATCATGTGAAAGTTAGGAGCAGTGTGGTTAAACAGAAGATTCACAAGTAAACCCAGTATATAGATATTGGAAAACCACGAAAGATGTAACTCTAGAACTTTACATGTACAGTAAATTTTCGCGTATAGTGCACACTTTTTCAAACTAAAACTGTCGTGTCTAAAAGGGGGTGCGCATTATACGCAGGTAGTTACAAAGGAAAGATTAAATTCTGAATTGTTTTTAAAATATCAGCAGTACAATCAAGGTCTATTTGTAGTGATTTTAGACTACATAGTAAGTAACTATCACAAAACATGTGTCTGTCTCAGAGAAAGAAGAATATTAGTTGTAAAATCTGTGTGTTTTTTATAGTTCAATAATTTTAATTTCAACTGAGAGTACTGTTGACCTTCTTATTAAATTATTTTATCAGAAATTGGGAAAATGAAATTTTTTTTTCTTTTTAAATGAAATTTAGAAGATATTGGAAGTCTCTACTAAATTTTGTTAATTTTACAGGCTTTTGAACGTATTACCTTCTTTTATCCCAGGTCTCATCTGAAGCCAGAATGTGGCACTCGGGGTTCAATATCGATCTGAAGATCACAGGGATAAGTTCTTTGTAAATATATTATTAATCATTCATGCCAGACATTTTAAAAATATTATTAATTTTTTTTTCTAAGTTGTAATACAAACTGTGAGAGTATGTCACTGAATAATTTGTTTATTGTTTTTTTGTAAATCTATTTGTTTATGCCTTCGAGAACAAACATTTAAAAAGAAAATCTTAAATAAATGCTTATTTGTTGTTGATTTGGTGTCAGAAGTCTATCATGATAATCACCATGTTAATATTATGAACCTGTTGGTTATAATCATGAAAATGAATTACAAGGTTGTATAAAACCTAATTATGATATCTAGTGACAACCTCAATATTACCGACAGACAACACATATTCAATATAATAGTATACCATTTATCTATCTCTTTTGTTTGTATTTGCTGTGCAGTGAAGGTAGATGACAAAATTTCATCAAAAATAAATCTTAAATCAAATTTTTGCATCTTGACGGGTATTTTATCTTATTTATATCTTA